GCGCCCTGCGAATACGAAGATTTTACTGTGTAATTTACACCATGGAAGAGCAAGTAAAATTTCTTACAGCTTTCAAAGCTCAAAGGGCACTCTTGTACGTCAAAAGGAAATTTCTCTAAGCGTAGTCCACAGTTGAGACTGGTCTCCAGTCTAAAAATGAAGCAACAAAAAAAGATTAAAAAAAAATTTTTAGTCATCGACCAATCCTAATTGAAATATACGAAAAAATAACCTGGTATTAAGAATAACCATGCCAGAAGGATCAATGGAGATGAGTAAGTCTTTGACACCGTTTCCCATGATAACAGAACTCCGCTCGTTCGCCACATAAACCATAGGTGTCCATATTAAATCATGAGCCACTTGACCGCCAAAGATTTGAGAATGATTTGGTGCAATATCCGAGAACTTGAGTCTGGGGTCGAGATATCGAAACTGAAGCATCATCTGTACGTCGAATTGCTAAAACATAAAAAAAAACGTGCACAAAACTGACCGAGGAAGTTTCAATCCTCAAAGCTGTTACGTTATAATATTATAATTACCAATGTCCTCGCCATGTTTGATTTGATAGTGTATATATAAGCTCTGGACAAGACTTTTACAGGATCGCTGGCGTTTACTTCACCTGGTGGTCTGACCATCTTGTCATAACGACATTCATTGGTCAACTCCTGAAGAAGCTCCGTCTGCGTCATAGTACTAGATACGCTCATCGTCGGGCAACTCTCCTCCCTGTAAAATATGAAGATTCAATAAGAAACTGCTTGACAAGGAAGCCAATGGCAGAAAGTGAAACACTGAAGATGATGAGGAAAATAAATGACTCCTGTGCTACCAGGAATACAGATATTCCATGCAGAAAGCTGTTTACCCGTGTGAGTAAATCGAAAGCAACATATTACTATGTTGTCCCAGCAACTCTTTTGTTTAGTAGATGACTAAATTAATATTCCAGTGCTCGTCTTTCTCGGATAATGCTTCACTGTTGCATTGTGGCGATGCGTGTGACATAAGTGCCGCTTCGCATAATGGCACATGTGACTAGCTAACCGTAGTTAAAGTAAAGGACGCTCGCGCGAACAATCCGTGAATACCATGTTAAACTTGTTAAATAAAATACGGTAATCAAGCCATATAGACTGTTTAAACGTTAAATTATTTAAGGAGATTAGCCGCAATTTTCTGTGGATCAACCATATAAACGAAAACTGGCTAACCCGAATTCTACGTCAGCCCAATGCGTTAATCTACGCGATAAAAAGTTAACGCTTTGTATATTTTCGAACAAATATCATCCTACGTCACGGTTATGTTCGAGTTAGCAAACCTGTTTAATTTAGCATGTGTATCAAGTGATAAATATGCTAGAAAGACAACTGTTTCAGCTGCAGACTTCTAAACGGCAGCGATATCTGCGAAGCCTACTTAACTTTATCAATTCTAAAAAGCATAAGCAATATATCATCGCCATCAACCAATAACCCAACTGTTCTGGATCGACTACAGGAACCTTTTTGATTGTCAAGTATATATGTTTTTCCAACGTTGTTATTACGATTTTGTTATTAGAAGGTCGCAGAGCCGATGACGTTTTCGACTGTAACACAAAGCCGCCCCGTGCCGTTTGCTCAGCCAATCGAGAAGCCAACAATGTCTAATAAATTTCACAGACTTTATCTCGAATGCGTTTAATTTACAAGGCTCAGATTGTTTATACAAATTATTGATATCTACGCGAGACTGCACAGTATTAGCCAATCGTCTGACATTACGTAGCAATCCCGTGATTCCTTAGACACTCATTGTTGTTGCACCCGCGAACCGCGGAGAGTCCCCCTTGTTAACGTAATACTTTGATTTAACTTCTTTTTTTTTTTATTGCCACAGTATGATTAATCGTTGACTTATTTTCCACAAGTCGAATTTTCCTGTCGATTTCCATGAATACTGCTATTTATCACTTTCATTGCGGTACACAATTTCTTAATACGCTCTTACGAATGTCGCGACGAATTGAAAGTGCAAAGGCATTATTGTGATTAATGTTTACGCAGCTGAATCTTAGGTAACATAATGACAGTTGTTTAATTATAACAACACGAAATGTGTAGTTGAACGTATGAAGCAAGTTAATGTCCGTCAGTGTCTTCACCGTTTATCGGAATTCTCGATCAATTTCCACGTATCGTTTAGACGTACGTTATTTCAATTTAAAACATGATCATATTATCCTGCTCAAAAACACAAACCTTGTTCACAGTTGTAGGGTTAATTGAAGGCCGGTAGCTATGCTCTATTGAACCGAGAAAGTCGCCACGCAAGGATATAGAAGAAACTAGAGTATACAAGAGACGATGACCCGCTGTTCCATATTTGAGGGCGGAAAATTTGTTTGAATTTCTGGATATTCATGCCATATGAAGTATCAGTTCGACGTAAACTAGCGCGTCGCGACGCTTGCTCCAAGGTGTAGTAATCTGACTGCCAGTTTGTCAGCTCTTTATTAGACAGTCAAGGCGTCGTTCTTGACACGATATGACTGGACGTCATTTGTGGTTTTCGCAAAAGGACAAATCAGCAATCATTCTTAAAGTACTTTAAACCAGCCGCAAGGCTCAATTCTTAACTAACTATGATAATAGTATTGATAGGAGAGACGAGATGCGTCATTGATAAAGATCAATCGAGATGCATCGAACGTAAATCGCATAGCACTTCGACTTTTCTTGTCTTGAATGACTCGATATATCGAAATAGATTATTAACTTTAGCTAATTGATTTACTGATGCGCTGCGATTAATCAGTTAATTTAACTAATTCTCATTGGGATGACAGCGATAAGGATAGAGAATCAGAAGACACTTTCAAGGTTTGTTTTAATTAGTAAATGATGAGGATTAATAATTAGAGTATTGGCCAGCGTACGGATGAGAGAGTGAGACACAAAGAGACACTGAAGCGGAACCTCGTCTTGCTGTACATTTGAGAACTCCAATAGTCTTCGGGATTCGGCGTCCGGAACAGACAGGATAGAAAATAAATACTCTTATTAAATACTAGACGTAATTATAACTTACACTTGAGCACTATATACAATATCCAATTGCAGTGTCCTCAGGAGAAGCAGAATGATCCCTGGCAGCAGGGTGATCCTGCCGTTTCGAGCCATCCTAAGCTCCCTTGACAGTGAACGGACCGAGTGTAACTGATGTTTCCTTGAAGCAATGCTGAAGGTACTTAACCAGCTACGTTTACGGGAAGCCAGACAGCCGACGAAACTCCCAGCTCCCAGCTCCCACTTCGCTCGTATGCTTGCAGAACACACAATCGGCTTGAGACACCAGCCTTCTCAGTATACTCAAGGATTAAGGTACTCGAATACACTTGAAATCCGTACAAAAGGCACCAACTATTAGTTTTATCTGGTGAATTTGCTATTGTGACTCACGTATGATCCTCTACCTCTAACAACCGTACTTACTATGAGACCGATTTTCCTCTGAAAAATTATGACTGTAGATGCTGCATGTATTCTATTATCTCTGTTGAAACTATCCGGGCTTCGCTATTCTTTTCTCAATAACAATTGTATCGAGATGATTAAGATTAATGTATTTTCACTCATTCGTAATGACTTATCTGCACGTGAAAGACATCATTTTTTCGTAGTCACAGCCTGTTACTCTACTTCCATGATGCTGTACTTAAATTGATGCGCTTTTATATTTCTAGAAATTTTCGTCATGCGGCCATGCGTTAAAAGACTTAATAGTGACGAATTCGTCGATGTCATGGTTTTACGTTTCTAGAAAGTTATCTGATTACGCGCTACTGCAAGAAAGTTCACGGATTATATATGTATATACCTTAATAAGTACTTTATGAGTATTTGGCAAGCTACTCTCTGGTACTCATACTCTGTTTAAGAGTTGAGTAAATCTAGATTAATTAATAGTAGAATTTATGCGATTATGAAGAACCACTTTTTTTTATCTTCCCGCGTGAGATCTTTTCTGTTACTGTACACTCTTGAAATATTAACAGAAGGCGCTCGAATGAATGAAAAGTCTTGAGGATATGACATAACAATATGAGTTTTATTAAAATTGTCTTATCTTGTGTATTAAAATTAATGTCCTGTCTGAGTATGTGGTTTCATACGATTTATTGTATATTCAAGTATGTATATGAAGATCCTGTAGCAATGACATAACAATATGAGTTTTATCAAAACTGTCTTATCTTGTGTATTATAATTAATGTCCTATCTGAGTATGTGGTTTCATACGATTTATTGTATATTCAAGTATATGAAGATCCTGTATCAACTGTGTTAATCTCTTGAAATGTCTCTCAGTGTACGGGATCATGGCTTCTAGAGAAGAACCCAAGTCTGATGATTGTAACTGTTCAGTACCGATGTCATCTAATAGCGTGTACATTATCAACTGCAAAATTAAAAATTATTATTAATCAGTTCGTTGAAAATGTCTTACAAGTGACTATAGCTTTGACGTACCTGAGCCGCTTGAGAGTTTCTACTATTTGTATTCCAAGTAACCGCACATCTGAGTAACGATTCCTTTTCATGCGGTTTCAATTCCTGTATCGTGCTTACCAACCCTTCTTTGCCCTTTTTTATGATACCTAATCATATATAAAAAGAACATTTTTTTTATCAATATTACAAAATATAGAGGAAAATTATTAAAGGATAAAAGTGTCATTGTACCATCTATTATCTTTAATACTTGAAAAGGTCGCTCAAGCCTTAAAGCTAATTTCAAAGCTGCTGTTAATTTGTCAGCTTTTAATAGATTTGCTAATCTCTGTATTCCCAGGGCCAATTCTTCTTTTTCCTCAGCAGCTTTTGTTAATTTTTCTTCAGTTACATCTCGCCATACTACCAGTAATGAATCACTGCCACCACTGATTATGTGGGATTCTTTGGCATTTACTGTCAAAGCCCATACTCTGCTGTCATGCTCGTCTAAAGTAGCTATACATTCTGAGGTTTTTACACTCCATAGTTTCAAAAGACCATCTCCGCCGGAACTAATCAGTTGCATCCCCCGTGACAAGAATTCTGCCTTTAAAACTGATGATTCGTGTCCCTCTAAGGTCTATCAAAGAGAAATAATATTAGAAATATGCAAGTTAGTACTGCAGGGTTCTATTAATTGTTAATTATACCTTTAAACAATTTAGATCTGTCAAAGACCAAAATTTGAGTGTACAGTCAGCTGATGTGGTCAGTAGTACTTGATCAATTGGGGAAAACCTAACACACCATACTCCTCTACGATGACCTCGTAACACTCCTAGTAATTGTAAGCCCTCTGCTGTCCATAACTGCAAATATTTTATTTTACACACAGTTTTGTTCATTACATGTGGCAACAGGTGATGATCAATATCTAATTATACCTTGGCTGTTTTATCTTGGGATCCAGTAGCAATAAATCTGTCATTAGGTGAAACTGCTATGCTATTAATATCTTTTTCGTGGGCCAATTCTGTATGCGTTACGTTGATTGTCACTTCTTCATCTGCAAGTAAAGAAACCAAATTTTTAGTGATTCGTAAAGACTAATTACTAAAAATTTAATAGGCATTGTATTGATAATTACCGAAATTTAACTTTTCAGGTAAATTCCATAATTTAATGCATGAATCTTGACTAGCTGAGACAAAGAACTTAGCTGATGTGTTGGAGACAGCAACTGAACCAACTGAAGCTGTATGCCTAACAGCTGATGCTATACTAGATACTTTTTTCGTTTCAGAATTCATATACCATACGCGGACACTGTTATCCTAAAATCATTAATTTATTATAAATTCTAAATCTCCGTTTAATGGCACTAGCCGACTTATTAGTTAACTAAAATTTGTTGTACTTTGGCTGATGATATTAATACGTGTCGATCGGCTGGGGTCGTTCCAAGTGATAAAATAAGATCTGTATGACCACAGAGTAATTGACAATCCATTGTTACTAATTCATATAATTTTATATCAGCACTGTTAGTTGCCACAGCTAAATGGGAATCATCAGTACCAAGACAAGCGATATCTAAAATTTCGTCACTGTAACCCACCAACTAGTGAGATTACACAAAACTATATATTAGTACTTCAAATTTAAATATGGATGTGAGTAATTTCTTTTAAAAAAACCTCACCTGCTTCTTACATTGAAAGGTATTCATGGAATGAATAATTATATTATGATCCACAGAAGCTATAACTATACAGTTGATTATTGGGTTGTAAAGTAAATGAGTTATAGCCAATCCACCTTCTTCTTTTGCAGAGGATACCAAAGAATTTTTTTGGATATAAACCTGACGCGCTTCCCTCATTTCCCATATCTTAACAATCCCTAAAATTATGTTGAAATTAGAAACAATTTTGTAAAGAATATCGGAGAAAATGATTATGATATAATTGTGCTGTAAAAACCTTTTTCTCCAGCAGCTGCTACATAAATTCCATCAGAATTTTCCCGAGGAAATGGAAGATCGCAGCACTTTGGTAAAATGAAGGCTCCTTCAATTCCCTCAAAAACAGGAACTGTACGAATTGCTGTTCCTTTTGTAATATTCCACAAAATTAATACCTTGTCACGCCCTGAACTATAAAGATAAATAAGCTAATTAGATATGTACATAGTGACTCATAGAATAACATTACACACTTCATATTACTACCTGACCAAGTGTATTCCATCATCGTGAAATGATATCGACGTGATTTTACTAAAATGCCCAGAAAGCACTCTCTCTTCCCGACCATTTTGTGTATTCCACACGTGTATTTTGGTATCATCACCAGCTGCGAAGAGAAGTTGCTTTTTAGTATCTGGATGAAAGGCTAAGACACTGTAAAAAAAAAAGATAAGTAAATGCAAATTCTATGCTTTTTTTTAATCAGACTTACCTCACAACTCCTTGAATACCTTTAAAGCTGTGGGTGCACGCATGATGCTGCAAATCCCACATTCTAACATTACTGTCACTGCCACCAGAACTCATTGACAAGCCATCGGATGAAATAGCAATTTTAGCTACAGGACCATTATGAATAGATTTCCACATTTTTTTAAGTTTCCCTGCTAAAATATTTTTTAAATTACCATGTTTGATAAAAATACTATAAATAACTATGTATTACATATGTTCAAACTAGTACCTTTCCAATCCCAGAGTTTGAATAAGCCACTTTTGTGATGCGAGACAATAAATTCACTATCAGGAAATAGTGTAAATGTATTAATTGTATCTTCATCCTGATCAGGTCCTGTTTCTCCTAAAGATACGCTAACAGAACCTTTGTTTACATTTACTACGGATACAACTCCAATCTTTTGACACAATATATAATCACCATCTGCACTCCACTAAAAAGACAATTTAACAGCTAAAATAAGAATATTCTAAATGTGTTTATTATAAATTAATAATGCAAGTAGGCATACCTCAATATTCCCACCCATATAAAATGCACCATACTTAGTTTCTACCTCAAACCTGTAAACAAATTCTGTGTTAAACAAAATTGACGTTTAATTTATAATTTTATATAATATTCGAAATCTACATACGCTTCCTTCAATTTATTTGAGCTCATCATGAATTTACAAAAATAACTGACAAAGTTTTTATAATTTTTTAAAGCTTTAGTCTCAAACACTTTCCAGATACTCGGTTTTATCAAACACGTGTTCACTGAAATCAGATGTGTTAAAGCGTTTGGATCATTTGGACGAATCATAAAATTATCTACAGCTGATATAAGATTTTCTTTTGAAACATATTTACCTATAGTAGGTATCTTTATACTCAATAGGAATTCATCCATTATGTTTGCCATTTCTTCCACCAAAGTGTATGCCACTGATGCCATTGGTTGTTAAAAAAAAAGTTTTCAGTTTTTAAAAATGGCGTTGCTCACGAGGAGGTGCGTTGCGTTTCATGTCTGGCGAAAATATTTACCCCAAATGCCAAATATTCTTCAAACAACCTCGCGAGATGCTTCGCAAAATATAGCTGGAGAGTTACCAGATTATGAAACTGTTTACAAATTTTCCTTAATCCGTGAGGCAAGCACCTGGAATCGAGTAAAACTGCAACAGTCTATTCTAGGTGGGCTTTGTATACCTGGATCTTTTATACTTACCGGTGTAAATATTATTTCTGAAGATATTTTTGCTAGTATATTATTTATTGGTGAGTTTATATGTAATAATATAGATTTCTGTCATACTTCACTGCATAAGATTAATGGTGCACTGTTTTGTTTTACAGCAATTGCAAGTAACTTATTAATGCATTCAGTGGGATATTGTTGCAATAATATAATAGGATTTGTTTACCTGCATAAGAATAATAAGGATGTGGTACTTGCTTATAGTAATTATTGGGGAAGAAGACGGGACTTGTACATTGAAGTAGCAGATATTGTTCCTTTTTCTAGCATACCACCTTCTATCACAGATCCGTTATACAAAAAAGTGTATTTTTACCCTTCAAAGGAAATTTTAAAGATTAATCTTACAAAATCAGAAATTTTTGATGATGATAAAATGAATCATGTTTTTGGAGGTATTGAAATAGTAAAGAAATGATCTTTACTAATGTGCATAATTCTAATCGTATAAGTAAAAAAATAATTTGTTACATAAGATAGGTATTATTTTAATGAACTTTTATACATGATGTTTGGATAAAAAGTGACTATTATTTATCATCAAATATTGATACAATGTTACTTCTATATCCAATGATATCTATGACCATCGATAATGAGCATAGGCGCGATTTGCTTCACATTGCTTGTGAAGTTCTTGTTTTCTTCGTACAGCACGGCCCTATAAACGAATGAAAGATTCATTTAAATAAATAATAAAAATATTAAATGAAAATTAGTATATTTCGCAAAATGAAATCTACCTGATTTTTGGATGCTTCAATCAATTCCCATGCTAACTTTTCTGGTAAGTGTATTGTACGTTCTTTATCTTTGGCAGCTTCTATTATCCACCGAGCTGCTAAAAAAGCTGACCTCGATTCTCTGATTGGAACAGGAACCTGAAATTAAAGTTAGTAAAACATAAGTAAATTGATAAACTGTTATTTCAATATGACCTTTGCTCAATCAATACATTGCCATATATATATATATACACACAAGTATGATTGTGATATGCAATATACCTGGTATCTAACACCACCTCTTCTCATTGGCATAAGCTCAAGAACAGGTTTGCAGTTAGCTAAAGCTTGGTGCAAAATTACTGTAGGATTCAATTCAATCTCTGTTTGTGCCTCGAACGATGATGAGTTATATTTTTCTAATTGAATTCTTTTTACATTTTCAAATGTCTTTTCCAGTAAATTCCTTGCTAATACTTTTTTGCCCTTTCTCATTATGTAATTTGTAAACTTTCTGTATGCATAGAAGGAAAACAGCAATTATACGAATAAACATATAAGATATTCAATATAATAGTACAACAACAAACCTAACGATTGGATCGTAAAATTCAGAACTTGTTTCATCATTGAATGCTGGTTTGATAGGAATGTGAGCAATCTTCTGAAGCTCTCCGGATTCCTTAAGTTTATTTTGTTCACTTGGTATGAAAGTTCCCTTAATAAAAGTTGATGGAAACAAACTGTAGTTATTAGTCAAACTAATTACACCTGATCTGCAATTGAAAAAAGTTACAAAATACTTGTAGCCAGAATGTAGGTTACAATTGTTTTCTTCACTATAAACTAAGAGACATGATCACACAATAGATTATTTTAATATAATTTATATAATCGTCACCGTTTAGTTCCAAGAAGAACTTTTTGAAATGTAACTTGTCTCAGCAACGTTCGAAATATAGCCATTTTTTCAAGATTTAATTATTTCAGTGTATTCATTCAGTTGCCCTGTATACTACAGCTTAAGGTGACTTTGCGACAGGCGATCTAGCTGTTCTATACTGTGAACTGTAGTTAAGTTGTGATTGTCCATCTCGGTTCTTGGGCCTGGCCGTCGTTGCTTTCCCATCAGTTCAGTGCAGTTCAGTGCGAATGAGTGCGAAGCAGTACGGAATACTCAAAGAAGTTTAGTGAAGAGAAAAATTCTCTGGATCTCGTTGGAACTGCTTGAAAACTTGAAATTTACTGTACTTGTTTATAAAATTGTGAGCCATACAAATGGTTCAGTTATTGCACGATACGTATGCTAGGCTAATAAATTCTTGTGGAAAGGTCTCCTAAGAGGAGTGCCTTGACAAGTGGTTTTGTGTACGGGAACCGAACCTTTGAACCCTTCAGAATGGCTGAAAATCAGGGAAACTCCTCGAATCAGGCAAATCAAGGTAAATAAGAAATTTATTGTTTGAAGTGTAACACTTGTTTTGTATTTTTACTGTTCTAACCTAGATTCCTTGCTAATTGGTATGAATCTCCGCTATATAGGTAGAAACGGATTTTTCGTTTTAGGTTCCACCAGAACTTTCAATTTTCAGCGTTTAGATTTTCGATCTAATAGTGATGTTCAAAATGAAATGACAGGTACGCTCTCATTTGGTCAATTTAGGAGAAGTCATTGACAGTCACTCATAACATAATTTTATGTTCAATTTACTAGCAGAGAGGCGAAGGCAGTTGAGACTTAGTTTTCAGACACAGGGTAGTGGTCTGTCATTGTCTAATTCAACATTGTCTAATTCTTCTGACACACCTGTGCGGCCACCTTTGTCGTATGTATTACAAGATTAATATAATTGTACTTATTCTAAATATTCTAATAAAATAGAGTAATCTTATTATTATGTATAGGTCTTCGCGCCCAAGCTTGCCTGTACCATTACCTACATTGCCAGTGAGGCCCCGTCCTACGGGGCAACAAGAATTTCGTCCTGATAATGCAAGGTTAGTTCAATTATTTACTATAGGAAAAAATCTGGATTAAATGTTATAATATATTACAGGGACACATTACGAATGTGCCAATCAATGCAGAGCACAGGTAAATTACAACTGACCCCTGATGTAGTATACGATTTTACAAGCGAAGATCTTCAGGATTTGGGTGAGATAGGAAGGGGTGGGTTTGGTACTGTAAATAAGATGATACATAGGATAAGCAATACCGTCATGGCTGTGAAGGTGAGATAATACATCAAAAATTCTTTAAATACAAAGAAAATTCTATCTCGCTTTGGACGAGTATCCACTCGTATTTTGCATTACTACAATTGGTTAAAAAGAACAAAAAAAAATTTTTCTTTATATACGAAAACATTCTATTTTTCTATGCAGAGAATTCGTTCGACGGTCGACGAGAGAGAACAAAAACAATTACTGATGGATCTGGAAGTTGTAATGAAGTCCAATGAGTGCCCATGCATTGTGCAATTTTATGGGGCTTTATTTAAAGAGGTATTTCACAATTATTTAAACATCTCCCACAACCTGTAGCATATTTCAAAACACTAAAAAAAAATACTATTTTTTACAGGGAGATTGTTGGATTTGTATGGAACTAATGGACACCTCGCTAGACAAGTTCTATAAGTTCATATATGAGAGACTAAACGAGAGGATACCTGAGTGTATCCTCGGTAAAATAACCGTAGCAACAGTTAAGGCGCTAAATTATCTAAAAGAAAAATTGCGGATTATACACCGAGACGTAAAACCGAGCAACATTCTGCTCGATAGACGTGGCAATATAAAATTATGCGATTTCGGTATTTCCGGGCAACTTGTAGATTCGATTGCCCGTACCCGAGATGCTGGCTGTAGACCATACATGGCTGTGAGTTAACAACATTTAATACAGTTATTATAAGCCCTCGATTTGCATACGGACAACCCTTAATTATTAAAGCCTTTTTTACAGCCTGAAAGAATAGACCCTCAGCGGGCACCAGGCTATGATGTAAGGAGTGACGTATGGTCTTTAGGCATCACGTTAATGGAAGTAGCCACCGGATATTTTCCTTATCCAAAATGGAACTCTGTTTTCGAACAGCTCTATCAGGTGGTGCAGGGTGATCCTCCTCGACTGTCACCCAATGAGAACGGCAATCATTTTACCATGGACTTTGTCAATTTTGTTAATACATGGTAAGACATTTCACTTATTCTCCTGAAACCATAAACCTCTGAAATCCTATCCTATTCAATATTAATTTCTCTTCCTTTGCACTTCAGTTTAATTAAGGAAGAGACTCAGCGCCCTAAGTACAACAAACTATTGGAGCATCCGTTTATACGGAAAGCTGAAAAGGCGACGATAGACGTAGCTGCATATATTAGTGGCGTGTTGGACAATATGGCCAATAATGGGGTCACCCCTTTCACCACCAATCAGCCTTAAACGAATAGGAGTCACCACAGAAGATGAAGAAGAGCAAGGGAGAAAGCATTCCTTGACGACCTTCCGTCGGATGTTATATTTACAGAAATCAGAATGAAAGAATGAAGGAAAAAATGGAGAAGCATGAGCCGCTCCTCCCACTAGTAGGTAGACAATTGCAAGGGCTGCCGTCGTTGTAGAGCTATATCACGTCAGAATACTCGATAGCGAGTAGGGGTTAAAAGAAATGAAATCACAATATCCAAGTAGAGTTGATAAAGAAGAAGAGTGAACGCATGGAATAATTTACTTAGCATACTTTCCTACTGAGCTCACAAGAGTCCACTGCAAAAATACCTCTTATAAACATTTAGATATCATCTCCAGAACGATCTGTAGTTCTTGTAATATTGAAAAATAATCCGACGAATTGTTGTGAATTGTATATATTGTTTAACGTTTTACTTCCATGTTTTATAAAGCATATGACTTGGAAATAGCTCGCCAAAACAGTACAAAGTACCTAATTGCTCGTTCTGGCGATTTTATTAGGAACAAGCTTATACGAACGTTAAAAAAAAAATACTGTACCGTAAGGAGAATAAATAACAATTAATTGCGAATCAACCGAGTCTGACGAAACAAATTTTAATACTCTCCCTATCGCTGTTATCACATCCGGAGGTAAAATGATGCTGGTGGTTCCGACGTGAATGGTCAGTCGTGGTGAACCTAGGGAATACAAAGCTGCGGGTACAGGTGCTACCCGGTACCCAGACGGAAGTGAAACGCCAGGTAGCTCAGGGTTGTGAGAGCGTCGATCGATATCCAGAGCGAATAGAGTATAGTAGGAGTCGTCAATGCCGCTGTTGGTCCCTTTTCAGGTAAGAAGATGGCGGCTAAATGGGGGTGCCGATGCCGGTGGTAGCTGGAGGCGATGGTGGTAACATTCGTTGTCGCTCCTCCTGCTGTTACGTTACGTTCCACCGGGACCAATTATCATTTAAGCCGGGGAGTCTCTGGTAGTTGAGTCGCAACGGCAGCCTACTCGTAAATCGATCAGGAATTCTATCAGTGGCTTTATAGTTCGCGAACCCTTATATTCCTGGAAATATCGTCATCGGGAATTCCTTGGATCTCAGTACGCAGTACCAGAGCATTAAACCTGCTACCAGTGGGTATAATTCATCGAAATTCAAAAGGACGACGGATATTATTTTATTTATTATTATTAGTTATATTATTTAATTAAAAAACTTGCTATTAGATCAAAATTTTTGAAAATGTTCATCAGGGATAACGTGCGTGGTATCCCAAAGTGAACTGGTACCAAAGTTTAACTGAAAGGTGTTTAACAAGAGCGTGTTCATTGTTTATAACGTGACCAAACATTTTTTACTGTCCTTTTGAATCAAAACAATTTTATTTCGTCTGTGTGGTTCATGTCTTTGACTACGTCGGGTTGCTATCGGTACCGAGTGCTGAATTCGCCTGAAGGTAAGTGCATCCTGCATAATTATTACACTACTAATAGTCGTAAAAATCAATTCGGAATATCAAATTTAAAGATGGTCGAAAATGGTAGTGGGATCGATCAAGGAAAAGATAATAGAAACGTAGTTGAATGTCGATCAGGTTCCCATCAGCTTCTATATGGTCCCTTTAGTTCTGACAGAGTGCTGCTGTGCGGTCGGAGGATCAATTTTTCTGAATATTTTATGATACCTCTACCCTCTTGGAAGTTATATATCTATATAACAAGTTATAACGTTCTATAATACCCATTGAAATACGTCCACATCACCCGAGAAGGTGTGATCTATTATCATTTCCCGTTAATATCTTCTTCTGGTGTTGCCTAAGAGTCTAGGTTTTATTTACCTTTAAAATTATATTACAACATAATTTTTTCCAAATCTTCATACATACCTATCAGTAGAAAATCCAAGAAGAATCTATATGTAGGATATCAATTGTTCTTTGGATAGTAAAAAGCATAAGCTCTTGCAGTGTCCTTGAGCTAAGCTCTACAGACCTTCTTGATTGTCTCATCCATGATTTTATCTATCTTACATCAAGACTCTAATATATATAAACAAAATTTAATAATTTAATAACTCTATCTGAAAATTTAATAATTTAATAATTCTATCTGAAAATTGTCAAGAACTTTAATATGTAAAGTACGCATAGGGTCGCGGAGCAAGCACCTGTTATTCACGGTATATAGATTGGTTGGCCAGTGTAGTGAGTCAACCTGACGTCGCTTGGATGGCGGCAGGTGCTACAGAACCAGGTGGGAGGCAGAGGGATGGATGTTCCCAGGAGATTATTGATCGTACCGCGCAGATACTTCCAGTTTGACGACGGACAAACGGACCGATCGCCCCTATTCGCTCGTTCACCTTGCTGGACACAATAGGACCACCCTCTAACCGCCCAAACAAGCATCCCTCCTTGGTCTGGTTTGGCTGGTATCCACTTGCTACACCCGGGCGACTGAGGACGGTGGGGTTGAACGATAACGAATCTCTTCACTGGCCCTCCCACAGGATAACCAATCCAGTCGCGTCTCTCAGAATCTCATACGCCATTCGCGTCCACCCCTAGTGAATGGGCTCTGAAGGCGGTCCCGATCGAGTGTCGCAGTATAATAAAACCTGATATACCATCGGGATGCTACAACCAGATACGACCCCCCTCTGGTAGCAGTGATCCTGTTTCAATATATATCTTTATACATTGAAAAATACTTATGGTCTGCCATATATTCTCTGACAGAGGGTAGCTTTCGATCCTATAACCGTAACGGACAGTACAGCTTTTACTTCCGCTTCCGTTTTCAGCCTACTGCACCACAATTTTGTTTCCCTATCAAAGGTGTCAGGATGCCAGGTGTCTGCAGAGTAATGTCCAAGAAGTTAGGTTATGTAGGCACCCTCATGAAATAACCATAAATTTTCTTTTCCTTAAATCCTTGTAGTTTTCATCGGGTAGAATTGTGATTCTGATTTTTCAATCACAATATTGTATACTGCCAATTTATGTAGCTGAGGTCGTCTAGCGAGCCGGTTACGTTCCTGGGTATAGGTAGATCTATGGTGGCTGATAATAACAGTGGACGTAGAGCTGTGTAACGTAAGTCCTATGCATGGTCCACCTGCGATGAACCAGGCACCTGTCGCCGCACGCGCACCAACGACCCCCGGTAGGCTGTTTGCCAGCCGCCCCTATTATACTAGTCACCCCCATGACAGAGTAAGGGACGAAAGTACGATCTAGCCCACGTCATCATACGTCGCAATCGGCTATACGTGGCCAGTGGTTAACGTTTTATTACGTCGTTCATCCATCCGTTCACGTATTCATCAACTTGCATTTTTACTGATCGTCCATTGTTTTTCTAAAGTATTTTGGTACCATCCAAGTAGTACAATAGAAGAAGACTCCGTATAGCCTAGTACCGGGAGTGAAAGTGTTGTTAGGGTAGCACCTTTGGTTGATGGAAATTCCAGAAGGCAGTGAAGACGCGTCTGAAAATTGCGTAATGTTGTGAAAATATAATTGATACCAATTATAATAGAATTGTCAATATCCTTTTGGGGACGCAAGTCATACTTACTGCATTGGCGTTGGGTGAGCAACCGTGAATGGGACCCAATGAGTTTGAGTAGCTCAGTAAGAGTGATTCTGAATAAAATCGCAATACAGAAAATCCTTAAGGAATTTTCAAGTGAAGTAAGAAGAATTTCTTCGAATCACATTTTCACAGATTCCTTTGATATGAAAGATGGTGAAAATGAGAACGGAGGTACTCGTCGTTGATGAGGGACTGACGGAGGAGGAATCAGTCCTGGCGAAGATGGATGCGGAGGAAAATTACGGCGTCGAGGCAGAGTTGACAAGTTTATCATGGCTGCAATCGCTGGACATAACGAGTGCGTCAAATCTACCGACGCCACCTTGTTCGCCGTCGCCGCCGCTACCGCATCCGCAACCCCAATCCTCTGTCGCTCATCATCCGCCGAAGAAGATGTCTCCTTTGCTCAAGGCCGAACTAGGTATGCGGATTGGTTGTATCCACTTCTTGTCAATTTTGCATAACTATTTTTCAAGTGAAATTACGAATGTTCTATTCGTCTGGATTTTGTAGATCTCGTGGAGAACGGCGAAAAGTACCGGACAGACTCTGACGCTAAACCACCCTTTTCCTACGCCACCCTGATCTGTCTTGCTATGCGAGCAAATAATAATAAATTAACCCTGTCCAGCATCTACAGATGGATTCGGGAAAATTTCATGTATTACAAGCATGCGGATCCAGCCTGGCAGGTAAGTCTGAAGATAAAGAAGTTTTTCTAGAAAATTATTATATAGAGAAAAATACATGATTTATTAAGTAAATTTATTTATAGAATTCAATACGTCACAATCTCTCGCTGAATAAATGCTTCGTGAAACTTCCTCGTACAAAGGATGAACCAGGCAAGGGTGGTTTCTGGAAGTTGGATCTAGAGCGTCTAGAGGAAGGTCGACGTTCCAGAAGAAGAGCCTCCTCCCGGCGTAACGGTGGTGCCAAGACTAGAATCACACCGAATACTCCAGTCACATCAATACTCTATGAGACTCCACCAAGCAGCGTCTCACCACCGATTCCCGATAGTCTACCTGAAGTACCTGAGTCTACGCAAGTGAGTCTCAGCGAAGATGACCTTACCGGACTCCTTATCGCCACCGTTGGCTGGGACGAGAATCAGTTGGATCTTTTGGATTCTCTATTGGATTCACTTTAAGAAGTTGTGACAGGTATTTTTCAGAAAAATTTTTTCTGTGAGGATCCAAGCAAAGAACTAGAATTATACTCGTGCGGATTAGGTGTGGATGAATTGTGCGTACTTTGAGATGTAAGTTTGCCTTAAGTTGGGTGTTAAATAATCGGCGGGCCCGAAAAAGGTTCATTGGCCAGGTCAACTTAGATAAGGTATACCTAGAGGAAGTCCGGGGTAAGATGGGTCCAGTGGGTCAAGACGAGCTACCCGTAAAATGATTCGAAGATCAATCATCATATATTTTTGGATTTGCTCTGACGTCATTATTCCCTTAAGAAACCGTCTCTCACTCCACCACTATATGCCTAGAGACTTCTCAGGCATTCATATATCGTATGAAAAACATTGAGTATATATAGCTGGATGTTGAAAATATCAAACAGGCTCACGTTTCAGGTATTTTTAGATAATGCGTACAACCTCTTAATTATAAGAGAATATCAGAATTATGCTATAACAAGTGAATGAAGACAGTCGTCCAGAACAATGGAGAATCCTATTTAAAAAAAGTCGAAAGCACCATTAATCAAAGAAAGAATAATAAAACAATAACGTTGACACTAACGGCGTCTGCTCAAGACTCTTTCTTTCAACATCCAAGTTATCATATACAGATAATACAGTCAGTAACGTTAACGTTAGCCGTACAGTAGTTAATTTCCGACATTATAATGAAATGCATAAAGAGAAAAAGAGAAAGAGAGGGACAGAGTATGGTAACCGATCAAACATATTACCTATTACAATGTACATTAATGAAATGATAGAAAATTAATAGTCGGTGTGATAAAAGTTTGAATTGGTGTTTTTCCGCTCTAGTTCACGCCTTGTAAAAAAATCCGTCCAAATATTCAGAGTCGTTATTTACATTTTGAATCATTATGTTCGATGATGGAATATCCGCCCACATAACGCAAAACACACGTTTGTGCTATGTGGACTAAGTCAAGGGATTACCCATACAAGACAGAACATCCGAACGACATTCGAATTATGTCTGCAATGTCCTACTGACGTCCGTTGAAAAATGATATGCGTGATACATACCGTAGACGTCTTATGCAGATGTTCTTAAACACGACGCGGTATGACATCTTTAGAATGTCGTTTTAATGTCGGCATTTATGTTGCCTATTATTCTTTTTTTACCATTTGCTATTATTATTATCATATAATTTATAGTTATTAACTACAATACCATTTGGGAACCTTACGCACCTATACACCTATCAGCAGATCCGTTACTTTTAACGCGTCTAACTTTCATTGTTGTGTTATTTCATAAGTTATATTACCTTCGAGAAATGCTCATAGGACGGCTTCTCGCGGCTTAAGACCACCAATGTGCGTGCCGGTACATGGCCGATGACTGCGCCATCTACCTTATAAGAATATCTTATTTGTATGAAGCAAATTGTCAGATGAATGTTAGAAATGCATCCTATGAATGACAGGTAGGATGTGCAAAAAACGGACACAAAGACATCCGTAGGTGGGACAAACATACTTCTAAATGACATCTGCAAGATGTCATTTGAAGATTTACGGGTGTCTATCGTAAATCAGTAATGGCGATTAACGACGTCTGTATGACGTATTTCTAACATCCCAGTGTTGTGTGGGTAGTTGCATCCTTATAGTCAGTTCTTCACTTTCGGTTAAAATTTAACCTGCGAATAAATCCCCAGCTAACCAATCATTTTCATGTTTTAGGAGTTTATCCGCAAGTTAAATTTTATTGAAAAGTGAAGAAACTGGCCTTTAATTTTTTTAAACAATTAACGCGTACGTATGTGGGTATGTATTATTATTTTTAATGACAGTTTGATGATGTACGACTGCCATTATTATTATACCTTTATATCGTAAGACCGTTATTAGTCAAGTTTATATGTAAAGATAATGCACATTGGAGTGTGAGGAGTTGTGAGTATGAATTATATGTATAGTGACAATGAATGGGGAATGTGATATTTGTTTGTCATTCGATATAAATGGTATAAAGCAGTCGAGTGCATTTTTTTGACTGTAGCAGTAACTCATTTTTATTACGCATATATACAGTTATTAAATTATAATCTGTTGTAGCTCTGGTATAGTAATTGATAATATGATATGGTACATACATAATATAGTCATCTCTCAAGACACCTTTGACTGTCCCTATGATAATTAATATTAATGAATCACTAGCAATCGCGTGCCTTGAAGTAAACAAGAGTTTTATTCTTTGTATATTATATGGGTAATACCATGACGCAATACTGCAACTTATATCTATAATATTCAATACGAACGTGCTCAATGCAATGTGTTAAGAATTTCGATTTGTATCCTTATAAAGCGATAGCATGAAAATAAAAAAGTGAAGCATATACTTTTCTTATTTTCTTTTTCTTTCGTGTCAGTTGTGGGTCTTGTAGCATATACATATAATGCGAATCCGTAGATTAAAAATAATCTATATTGCATAATTACATTGCAGGTTAGAGATATGATATTATTTAGTGAGGATTAGTGTGCAGAATTTAATTCTCTTAACGGATGTCAATTTAACAGGAGGAAGAAGAATATAAGGAGACGCCGCCATAGCAGTTCTACTTTGAGGGGACTTAATTACGTTTCGATTGGTGAAAAGATGGCCCTTCAAAGTGGAATTGATGTTGCGGCCTGGCTATATGTATATGTATACATATCTGTGCTCACTCGCTTCCTCCATTCTGCGGTGTTCAGGTTTGTCGTGTTCACTCATGCTGGGGGTCACTGTCGCCAACTGTCGCTAATGACACGGTAGGGTACGGGTCAAGTGATAACAGTTTCACGCCTGGTGCTTTAGTAACGGGTATTCCGATTCTTAAACAGAGTAACGAGGAATACCAAGCCCTTTCACTACATTGCTCATTGTACCACTCCGATCCACAACCAAGTTGTGATGGCATTTTAAGAATACCGGAAGATAGTTTTAATGACAACTATTATTGCCGGTTTTACTTTACTGTTGATATACATAAGTAGTATCAAAGTATAAAATAGGGTCCAAGTTTCCATAAAATTACGGAAGTATATAGTAAGACAGAAAAATGATATATAATTTAGTACAAAACCAAGTAAATGCATACTTCGTAAAAAAATCCTATGTAGAACCACGTGTTGCTGCTAGAGAGTTCATTGTTTTCGATTTGTCAAAATAACACATTGAACTCGTGGACTGAGTACATGCGATAAATTGGACCGAGAAACCTAATCCATAGCTAATTAAACGTATGTATAAATCAGGGAATAAAAACGAGTCCACTTGTCGCATAAGATTACAGGATCCAATGCAGTTGGATTCCATGGAATTCAAGTTCCAATAACACCCTGGCCTTCTCACTGTGTCACTCACAGCTTTCGTCATTCCTTATATGGCCGGAGCAGCTCACTAATCAATTCCCTGGTTGCAAGGTGCGGAATCTTCCATATATATAGTTCTAAGTACTTCATTCACATTAATAAATAATTTCATAAAAAAAGTCGCACGAAAATATGCAGTCAATTTGCACTTTCAAAAACGAAAGGAAAATGAAAGACGCCTTCGCATAGGCAACCTTTCATATTCGAATGCGTCACAATGAGAAATTGCGTTTTACTGTATCTACACGTCTGCCAGTATACAACCTGTCATATGAACTTCTGTCTTAAACTTTCAATACATTTGTTAAAAACCTTCATTTAGTTTACTAAAACTAATAAATGGCACGCATTACGTAAATACATATTTTTAGAATGCCATTGACGCTTTGAATGAGAATAGGCGTCAAAAGCATTGTAACGTTGATCTAGCGTACCGCTCCATTCGATGTATAGAATTGAATTCATATGTGTATGGAAAAGTTTAAAAATATATAGTGTATTTGAATAATTAATAATTTTTTATTTATAGTTTTAAAGAAATAATTATAATGCATCCTTAAAATTGATCAATAAATATGTGTAGACTATTCGCATAATGGTCAGCGTTTATGAAAGCCGCTTACGTCTCAGAACTCTTGAAGTTGTGTAAACGTCAGCGCATAAGCTCCACGTGTCGATCTAGCTATACAATAATTCTAATAGCTAATTAGCATAACAAACTATTTGTTTTGGTCAGAACAAGTTTTGGAACTAATGATCGTTGTACTTGAACTGTGAGAAATCAAGTTTTTCTGTGTCTCTATTTATGTAGGTTATACTGATTCTTTTCTTATTAAAATTATGATGGACATTAAAAAGAAAGTCGTAGAAAAATTTAATGCTGAGCTGGGAACAGATCTAAAGAATCTGAATAAGATAATACACTTACATGAACAGCTGACAGAAGAAAGGAAAGGAATCGAGCAATCGGTACCAATTATAAACTTGGACAACAATACTGAGATTTTATGATGACTGAGGAATGAGAGTAATATATTTTATATTTTCTAGTTATCCTTGGCGTCCACCGAAGCACCATCTAAAATAAAAGCTGCTGTGGCAGGTGTTGAACAAATTAGCAATGAAATTGATGAAATTGTTAATGCCTGTGAAGCACTGCAAAAGAATATTGCAAAACAATTACAACAGAACAGTAAAACAGTGGAAGTTCAACAGCATATTGATAAGATTGGAGACTTGGATAAAGCATTATCTTACTTGCATCTCATTAAATTTATCGAGAATACAAGGTGACCAATTTATTTTATATTGTATCATATTTATAAAAACTGAAGTAAATATGTTTTAGTGATCAAATCGAAGCATCATTGTCAGCCAAAGATGATGAACTGACTATAACATTATATACAAACTTGACAGAAACAAGCTGTCAATTACAGTCTTCGACGTGTCATCATTTAGCAAATTATGTCAGAGATCTATTACACTTTTGGCATAATCATCTCAAAGATAAACTAGCAATGTATGTTAACAATTAAACACATAAATTTTCTGTATGTAAATTCTAACAATTGCAGGGAGTACAATGAAATTCTGAAAGCGTTGCATTGGCCCTTTTGCGGAAGTCAAGCTCACGCAATAAGTTTTCTAGCTTCTTCATATAATCCACAAGTGATGCTAAGATTCAAAGTACTCACAGAATATCTTTTCCAGCTACAGCTTCCGTATCCTTTTGATAATTCTATTAATATATGAATATGATATACTCCATTACAAATCTTTGACTAAATTTAATCAGAGAGGAGACAATGAAACCCTCAGTGAAGTCTACGCTGCTCACTGATTTCCAACCAGTCAGCTTACCAATTGTAATTCTAATTCGTCCACTGAGGCAAAGATTTATTTTCCATTTCACAGGTGCAAAACAAACGAATCGCCAAGACAAACCCGAATGGTTTTTTACCCAAGTCCTCACATGGATCAAGGACCATGCACAATGGATCCACAAAAATGTACAACCAGTAGCTGACTCTTTAGGTTTCACTCATGTTAATGCCAAGGTATAATGATAACGACAAAAAGTGGTTATTTATTATCAACATATATTATGCTTACCATTCCTCTTTCTAATAGGTCGAATTTATGCGAGGTCTTGTACAATTGGCTGTAGAAAAATTACATTCAGAATTACCAGTTGTTCAATACGATGACGGCCTCTTTGCTCATCTTGTAGATGAAGCCTTAGGCTTTGAACGAGAGTTACGAGAATCCTTATTCTATCCTCAGAATCAACCAGCAACAGTTTTTGTTCTAACCCAAGCGCACATCTTTGTCAAGTGGATAAACATGGAGAAAAAATGTACAATCATCATACAGGTTTTCATAGTTGATTTTGATGACATATTCTCATGAGGAATGTATAAGACGAAGAATTCCTTGACTAGATGCTACCGAAAAGATGGATGCTATACTGAACTCGGAAACTGCTTGGGAGATGCTCTCCGGTCCTGACGTGGATGATATGAAAGTTACTGAGTGTGCTGAAGCTTTTCTTACGCTTTTGATGACTATTACCGATAGATATAATCATCTACCTCAACCTGGACATAGGTATGTCCACCAGAAACATTATAATTTTTTAAACATAGCGTTCATACTCTATTATTCTTCTATGACTGCATACAGATTACAATTCCTTGAACTACAATTAGAGTTGATAGATGACTGGAGAGTACGCCTGTTACAATTGTTACACGAGGATTACGAAGATCCTCTGAATTCAATAATGCCACGAATTCTTAATACTTTACACTACGTGTCCACCGTGCTTATAGAATGGGGCACTACAGTGGTATGGACATAATTACCTATAAGCAAAACTCTAATTACCATCTTCTACCAATTACTACTCCTTTTATTCTCTTGGAATACAGCACTTTCTCCAATTGCATTTCTTCAAGAAGCAATTTGAGTCTGTCGAATCCGCCACTGACAAAGTTCTGATGCCAGAAAACGCTGCTGAGGAGGATGGATCCGTATTTGAAGATGCTGTGGCTCTGCTGCAAAGATTAGAAAAAAAATTAGTTAATGAAATTAGCAATTCCGTGACACTAGAGGTTAAGGCAAAGAGCCGTCCGTACAGAACTGATAAGTAAGTTTACAAAAATTTGAATATAGATTAATGAACTAAAATTCGTATTCCTTTTTAAAGATGGTTTGCTATGCAGTCGGATAAGGAAATAGCCTCCCTCTCAGTGACTCCGAGCGGATGTCCAATGTTTCAAGAACTAGCAGCACGCTTACATGCACTTCATGAAACTTTGGCTTTGCCACTTTTTAATCAAGCTTGGCGAAACTTAGCTACTCAATTAGACCAGGTAAATTAGCCAGAAAATAATCGTCTCTATACATAATAATTATTCTATCACATAAAAATATTTATTTTCTATAGTATCTACTAGAAGAAGTTGTTACGGTTAATCAATTTAACATAGGTGGATCAGCACAGTTTCAGTTTGACATTACAAGAAATCTATTTTCACTCTTCGGCCTATATACTAGTAAACCAGAATCGTATTTTCCATTGTAAGTATTTCTTGTCATTAGTTTATCAATGTTTAAACATTCCTCTTACTTCTGTTAATTATCATTATAGAACGCGCGAAGCCTGTATACTACTGAATATGCTACTGGGTTCAGCAATGCTGTTATTAGAATCATTAGAGCGAGATGAAAATACAACAGAGGTACTGGAGGATATAGGGATTTACAGAATGTCTGCAGAAACTTGTATAACGGTACTTAAAAATAGGACTGATATAATTACACAGTAACTGATTAATGCATTAGCATCTAAAATTACAAATAATAAAGATAGTATGACAGACGACGAATTGACATACCCTATCACACTGCACTGCAGTCATTCAGCACAGCAGACTAATTCCACCATTATCAGCACCCAGTAAAAGTAGCCTGTTTAATGGAAGTACAACCATAGCAGTAAGAACTCCCTTAAAAGCGTCGGACCTCAACTTTGTTGACGAAAACGACGCCGTAGCGTCTACTGCAGTATGAACGCCAATACGATTGGCCGTAGTTCCTGATATAAGTTCCTCTTCATACACAGCCATACAATGTACTGGTTCAGTAACCCCTCTGCAAAGTATGACATTGACATAATTAATTGTGAATAAAGTAATGCTTTGTTAATACAAATGTGTCAGAAACCAGACTTACTTCATATGAAATTTTAATTTCCCATCTATAGCGCTCCAAACGGCTATGGTTTGATCCAGGGAGGAGCTGACTATTGTAGTTTCATTAACTGCCTCCAATTGTAGAACCTATAAAGAAAAAAGGGTTAATGGATGATCAATGAAGTATTTCTATGATTAATTAATCATACCTCACACTCGTGCCCTTTCCATGATGCTATAATGAGACCAGTGCGAATATCGAGAATAGTTAGGAAACCAGATGCCTGTCCTAATGCCACCCAGTGTCCACTAGGTGCTACGGCTATACATCTAATCAGTCCTGTGGGATTCATTGACAACTGGAGCACAAAAGTTAATTAGAAATGCTAATAATTTCTTTTTTAGAAAAATGTAATTAAATTACTACATACCTTCATTTCATTAACATATTGAAAGGTTCTGCAGTCAATGACTCTCAAATTAATATCAGTCGTTGCCACGAGAAGCGTAGTGGATGGAGCAGGACTCGCTGCCAAAGTGTTGACAGGTGCTGGACGTGGACTTTCTGGTGATGCCAATAAAGAACCCATGAAGATATCCCAGCAGTGAATAGAGCCATCACAGGTCACTGCGTATCTCAAGGATTCTAAGAAAGTTATGGCAAGAATAGATTTTTTGTGACCTGTATATGTATACTGACAGGAGGACACTGCACTTCCGCCTCCCTGTAGTAAAAAGAAATTTGTATAATTGGAGATTCCATGATTTGTTTACTTTTGAAATAGTTAAGAAAATACCTGACTTCTTAGACTCCAAAGTTTTACAGTCTTGTCACGAGAACCACTCATAAAACTGTTCTCATTATCCAAAACATGTAGGCATCGTATACTATTAGTATGACCATTAAAATTCTGAAGTTTTATCTGCTTTATATTGAACCTAGTATCTTTGTCTGATCTTCCAATTTCATGCTCCCAATATGCTAACCAATTGCCTCGAAGATGCCGACTGGCTGAAGATGATTCTCGATTTGGTGCTGAGCTATTTTCAGTCTGTGGCTGAGCTTGAGGAACTGTATTATTTCTCTAGAAAAAAATTAAAATATTTTCATCGAATATTCATATTTTGGTTTATTGTTTACATTTACCTGTACTTCAATTCGATTTCCTATCACTGAAATGTTTCCAAAACTTCCAGCTCCCCTACCATCAGATTCATTTTCCAAGGGCGCATATTCCGTTAGGTAAAGAATATCAGAGGAACCTATATTAATTAAACAAGGAATAGAACTTCAATATTGCCTTTAATAGAATGATACGGTCCAAATAAGAAAAACTTTTACCAATATTTGGATAGGTCACTTGAACTTCCTGCTCATAAGCATAAGAGAGATCACGAATGAGTTGATGATTTTTTAGTATTTCCTCCAACAATACATCTCCAATGTAACGATAAAACATAACATAAGCCTTATGTGCAAATTCGGTAGTAAAAACCGCTTTCAGTTCCTCAAAAGCCTGCGCACAAAAATCTAGCATCAATAAGTCCCTTGAATAATACATCAAAATAAATGTAGAGCCATTCTATATATCTTGGGTCTACCTTATTTCTCTGAGGATCTGATATATCATGACTTTCTATCGCAGGTGGTGAATAGGAATCAGCAATCTCATTAACACCATTTCTAACTTGATTAGTGCAAAGAGGAGTGCCAATGATAGCCCATTGCTGAGTATTGCCATCATGTTCATCATCCTTCACAGTAGTTGATGATCTTCTCAGATCATCCTTATAAGTAGCTTTTTCATGGAGACTAAATGCCTTGTCGAATGCCAGGAAGAACCGCTGGATAGGTACTGTCAAGTGACTCTTTGTCATTACATTGCCGAGACGTAAGCTCAATGAGAATAGTGTTTCCAAATATTTATCAGCCAATGCAGACCGTGCGATAACACCATTCGGAAATGTGTATCGTGTTGTAGAAAGAATTCTTACAGTAGGATGCAATATAGATTTCAATATGATTTCCTGAAAATGATTTTAATTTGAAGAACGTTGATTTGTCAAAAGTTTTATTTAGTAAACATGTGTACTTACATGTAAAACGTCTATTAGAGTAGAATCACTCAAGCAAGGTGTGATGTGAGTAAGAAGAGCCAAGCATGAAACTAAGCCACCTTCAAGATTTGGCGTTAGTTTTCGCTTACAAAGAGACAAGAGTTCACCGACATGTGCAAAGTATTGCAGAAGGATAATCTGTTCGCCATACAGACCTGTAATTAATATTGTATTTTACAATTAAGTATTTTGTATGGAATTACTAGAAATATTCTACTTCACTTTATTATAATTACCGGAAATGGCTGTGAGACATTCCAAGACCTTTGTGGCATTTCTGTCACCTACGAGTATCGTACTATTCCAGCTGGATGTTTCTATACTCGTAAACTCACAGTCAGGAACTGGTGAAAGATTTTCTCTGCCTGCATAGCAAAGAGTAAGCATCCTCAAAAGATTTCTTGACAGGTAACGCGCTGTTAATACAGGCCCCAAACGATGTGATAACCATATCACAGATTCTGTGCTCATTTCAGATACTTTGCAATCATTAGGTGCTGATTTTTGTACATTCGTGTCCACTCGTATGGTGTTATCATCTTCTTCGTTGTCTGTTCTATCTTCGTATTCGAGACGTAGTGTGACAGATTTTGAATTATCAGAACCTAAAGTGCATACGTTCTCTGATACATTACTGCCTGACTGTACGTTTCCTGCGTATGAGCTACTGAACGGCGTATTCTCACTCGATGTTTTGCTACCAACGTGACAGCCAATACTGTTAAAATCGGTAACCAGCTTTCCGCCGTCAGATCGACGTGGAATTGGAATTGTTGGAGATTTAAGTGTACCGGGTGGTGAGATTCTGTTTGTATCATCAGATAAATCGTTGAGACTCAGATTCAGGTCTAGATGCATGTCGATATGGTATGGTGAATTGGTACTGCAGGGACCAGAGGTATCTTCTGTTTCTAATGTAAAGACTTCTGTAATAAGAGATTTAATTAAATTATAGTATTAAAATACAGAACAGTTTAATTTACCTTCGACATCATTATCAGCTGAATAAGCATTTCTAGAATCAGTGACTATGGATCCAGATGAGGTTGGGATATTATTTTCTGAATCTACTGAAGAATCCTCATCCAAAGGTGATAAAATTGCATCACTGTCACCACAGCTTCCGCTCAAATCACAACTCCTATATAATTATATCTCAAAATTACTAAAAATTCTTGTGAATTTGGTGTACTGCATAAATGAACTTGGCACGAAACCCTACTGAGTCTATTGATGAAGACTTACTTGAGATTTCCTGTTCTATAATGATTTGTGCTGGAAGAGCCTTGAAGATGATCCCTGTATCCACCAACGGCCTCCACGAGAGGAGTGATAAAGTTATCAAGGAATCGACGTAAACCAAGTCGCACCATTAACTTCAATAAAAAACTTCTATGGTACAATCTCATGGTACGAAACTTTGCTAAGGAAGCAGCAGAAAACACATCCATATGAATACAGCCATCCATGATGGAGCCATTTTCGTAAAGTTTCACAATTGGATCAAGAAAAGTGTCAGCCGCATCCTTAGGACCTAGTGCTCTGAAATCCCAACGGATAATTTTATTTCATCAATAAGCAGAGGAGCATAAGAAATATAACTGATTACTCACTTAGCAATGGGATCAAATAAATACCAAGCAGCTAAAACTGCGCTGTATGGTTCTTCTAAAATTTGTCTAACGTGTGGTACTATAAGCTGTAAACTTGCTTCAGAATTATTTCCAGCTTCTGGTAGAAGACGTTCTAATTCCCTGGCAATGGCCTTCACTTTGCACTCGCTGATTTTGCAGAGATATTGTATTTTGGTTTTAGCCATTGCTTCACAGTCTTCTTCTAGCTGTAGAATGAAGTTCAACTCTCGTGCCAGAACATTGTACTCCTGTAGCATGTCTACAATATTATAGAGACATTGAAAATACTTTGAAAAAGGAAATAAATTGCCAGAAAGAATTGGCTGTAGTAATTGATGAGCAGACGGTGGTGGGAGTCCCATGTAAGTCACTGTTGGATAACGAAATTGTGTGCTTGTGCTATTGATAGGTGTGTTTGTATCATTTGTCTCGAGATTTTCAAGATTATAGGATTTGGGCAGTACGTCCACTTGCAATAAAAGTGTCACAACTTTTCTCACGCATCTTGGCAAAGCGTCCGGTGATGCTTTCAAAGTGTTCAGACAAGTATTGAATCTATTGACAAAAGACACATTGCCAGTATTTCTTGTAGCTCTCAATTTTCCGGCAAGAAATATTTCCACAATCAGACAACCTAGAATTTGCTGCTCTTTGATTCTACCAGAAGCAACAATTTGTTTGTAGTTTATGAAATTATCGCGTGAAATCTCGAAGGGCTTGTACACACGATGGCTAACTTTGTTTAAAAACGCGTGCATAGTTTCCACTTGGATTAAAGCTGCTACAGGGTTGTAATCCTTAGGAAGAATTATTTGGCTGGCTGACTTTTCAGGTTTCGCATTTTCATCTGGGAAGAGTAAAGATCCTCGAGAACGACTTAATAAACGGCTCAATGCTAATGGTGAAGATCTCGTTGCATTTGACATTAGTGTAGAATCTTCTTCTTCGAACCCTGAACTGTGACCCTCGTCCTCGCTCATCTTCTCGGCAGAACGATCGTATTCTATAAGAGGATTTTCATTTAAGAACGTTGACACATAATAATAGAAGATTACTAGTAATCAGGTAACATACTCGTCTTGTCCTTTAGAACGGATTTATGAAGACGTGGTGGTATTTTACTCCAATATGGTGAAGCAACAATTTTCTGTGGATGAGGCTGACCAAACAGTTGGACTATACCTGAACTTGTTAAATCTGTATGATTATCAACAAGTTGCAGACACACGTTTTTAGATTTTATAGCAGCTGATCCTGACAATCTATTAACGTAATAAAAAATATTATTATCCTTATATTTTGAAAGAAAACAGACCAAATAAATGACAACAGACTCACTTGTAACCAAAAGTCAAGTCAATCCAATGATGCAATCTTTCAGAAACATAAAGACTCTCAAGAGCTTCGCGATGTTTTTCAATGAAATCTTCTGGCGATGTTGCCCATGCTGGAATTTCTAAGTCAGGAAGATCCTCGTGAATTGACTGTAATTAAAAAAGGAAAATCTTTATTCTAACTGTAATTGAGTATCATCTATTATCCATGCCCATTTACCTTGAAGACATTTGGATCTGTAAAAAATTGAGGTATACACTCGTCGGGACTCCAATCATGTAATCTTTGAATGGAGGCTGGATACTCCCAAGGAACCCATAATGGTCTGACATGTTTGCAGAGAACAGATTTGTTGTAGCGCCGTGAAAGATACACATAATATGTAATCTCAGATAGTACATCAGATACATGATGTCCAACCTAAATAAAAATGTATGTAGATAATTACAGGATTTTAAAAACATCTAAAATTTGTATAATAAGATAGACCTCTATTGTTTGGGAATCAAAAGTCAAATCCAATTGCCTGTCTCCTTTATTTAACCGAAATTTAGATTTGGTTAAATCTCTCCAGTTTCCACCATTTCTCTGCGTGAAATCTGTTACCCATGGCATAACGTGATGACAACTTGGATCACCATATCTTCGACCAGCTAAATTATTCAGAGCTGTCAAGTAATCAAAATTACTAATCTGCCCATAGACCCACATTTCACAAAGACGTTCAATATTTTCATTAGATCCAAAATCAGGACTTCCTGGGATCATATTAGTTGTATGATTATTAATTAATTCTCTGCTGCTGTCATTGTACTGCTTAGGAATTCTAGGACTTTGGGTAGTAGGTGTATCTGTACAATGTGACTCTGGCCTCAGATAAATATTATCACTTAATTTTGGTAGCACCTATGGAAAAGTAAAAAACTCAATTATTTTTTGTATTACAATTGTACTATATTCGTATAATAATTATAGTTACCTGTATTGTAAAATTTTCTGTGATTAATATGTCACTTAATGTGATATCACCAAGTGCTAATCCTATGTCATGCATGTCTCTCATTAATCGTAGTATTTGGTATACAATAAAAAGAGGTTTACTGTGGCTAGAAGACAGTGCTGCAGGACTGTATGTTACACATCTAAAAATATATAATGACTTTGAATGACTATACCCATAAGAAAATACATTATATGTCTATATACTTACTCTTGCAGTGAGTATTTAGCTGTTTGTTCATATATCACCATAAATACAGAATCTGTTTCCAAGGCAAGAAACGCAGGGAGAAGATTGCAATGAGGTTGAACAACAGAACCATTTGATACTGAAAGGATATTACCACTTTGTAACTGTACTAATGTACAGCCATACATTCGTGATATTACTTCTTGCATCACAGCAATATCAGTACTATTAGCCATTATATTATATTGTTCTCTATGATCTAATAGATTCCATTTACCTGCAAACACATTGTAAAGCATAATAGTATGATGGAAAAGTTATAATTAAAACATATTATAATTACATACTGTAATATTTTTTATATGCTTCTTTCCACAAATTACGATGATTAGTCTCTGCGACGTAATGAAAAAATTGGGTAAATGTCAGCTCCGATGTAGCTCTTGAATTTGCAACATGCCTTGCTCTAGGAAGTGGAATAGCATTTCTGTTCTGTTTGGGATAAACCTGGAATACCAAAACTAAATAACATTAATCTTCCTAACAATTGCTATTTATACATTGTGTCTATAGCATATAAATGTACCTTTATATATACTTTTAACCAACTAGAACCTAATTCTTCTAAGGATGGATTGGCAGCTATCTCTTCAGAGGATAAACGTTCATGTTTAATAAAACTGACAGGACCAATAGTCGTTAAGCTGGTCAACCAGCTTCTGTGAACAGCAGCACAGATCCTTCCATCTTTCATTCTCATATACTTTGCAGGAATGTCAAGCTCTTGTTCTATAATATCCATGGTTATAGCGTAAACTTACTCCAAAATAATTTTTTTCAAGTACTATATTTGCCAATGTTTAACAATTCTGTCACATTTACTGCATTTTGGTAAATAAATAGAAACGAAATTAACATATCACCAATTGTCAAATATAATTTACATCAGAAGAGATTTAGTCTAATTCAAGCATTTTAAATTAAACCTTTCATTTCTTATTTGTCACTGCCACATTTATCTCACTTGACAAGTTGAAATGTTGTGCAGTGACCACATTAATTGTGTTCAACAGAGCTAGCAGCAGCCAGTGGCTATCTTTTTACCACAGTCAAGTTGAGAGCAGTTGAGAAATGAAATACACGTGTCGTATATCTATATATTAGTGAACTATAGGTATACAGCCAATGTATTTCAACCACAGATGAATAGAGAGATGCTCAACGCTTAAGCGGTACTAAAATCATGGTGCTAAATCGTAGCGGCGAGTCCGGAAGTAAAATTTTGGGTAAAACTGCGGGTAAACTGCAGTATACGACTCCGAACTGAAGTTGGCTGCTAGTGACTTAGGTTTTTTGAGGTATCGCCATCTGCCGGATATAATGTGAATCGCATGGAATAGTCACGCCGCCTATTAGAAAAAAAATTAACCATAACCGACAGAAATAGTACCAGTCGACCGTCGTGTGCGGGGAATATTGAAATTCCCACTGAGCCTGAATCTGGGTGTACTTATGAATCCAAAAATGTGACAATTGTAAAATTTCGATCATTGATAACTTCGATTTGCCAAAAAACGAACCAGTTCTCACTGATCTCGTTGTTTTGCAACTACGACATTGCCAACGATATTTTTCCGAAAGAAATTCAGCATTGCATAGAATATCGCATTGCTTATCGCACACTGGACACTTGAAAGTCCGAGCCATAGCTCATAGGACTTATAAGTCCGTATCTTTGTGCAAAGGTGATTACCTCAATAGAAGGTTTCTCACCTAGTTTGAACAAATCTACGAATCGTATCACTATTGCAATCGATCACACATAATCCAATTTGAGCAAAAGAAATAATAGCACACTTGTGTTACACGCTTTGCGAGCTACTAACGAAAATCATGGTTCTACATGTTTTACGAAAGCAGACGATACATTGTAGCAAAAAAATCTCGAAACAGTAGATCAAATTTAATGCTCAATGTACAATCACGAGCTTGCACTTATACATACTTATATTTTTAAATAATATTATTTATAAATTAAATATACACATATTTAATATAAAAATATGTAATAATAACTTCATATCAAAATATATGTATACATAATAGGTGCAAACCTGTGTGACGTAGCACGAAAATTAAACGAAAAAAATCTCCAAACATGGAATATTGCGATTACTAGATTATATTTTGTGAAAATATATTTTTATAACAAGATGTTATATTGTTTTTATATATATTATAATTTTTTTTTCACCTCGATTGAAATTAATGAATAATGAAAATTATGAATAATGAATAATGAAATTAATGAAAAATAATTAAAAAAAAAATTAATTAATTAATGAATTTTTTTCCGATAAGGAGGCGCCACTATTCTATGCGATTCGCATTACATTTGATAGATGGCGCTATATTAAAAATCTAAGTCACTAGCAGCCAACTTCAGTTCGGAGTCGTATACTGCAGTTTACCCTGCGAGTTACAACGTGGTGCGGATAGGGAAGTGCCCAGAGCTGTATACAAGATCGTGGTCTCTGTCCATTGTCGCCAAAAAATACTACATACAACATTATTCTTGTAGCCGGAGGGTTTGTTTTCGCATACCTCAGTAAAATACGTTCGGAAAGATTGTTATTTTCGACAATTTATGGTCAGTTGAAGTGAAAAGTTGTACATGCATTGTACTTACTAAAGCCCCATTTCGTTCGAATTCTATTTATTAGATTGAGTGCAATAAAATGTCGAAATTTCAAACACTTACACAATACTAATCATATTGTAAAACCGTAGATATAAGAAAACCCAGTATTATCATGTATTATTATTGATTGTACAAAAGGTTTTTAAATTACAATGGTTTTTTAAACCATATTACGAATGGGAAATCGTTTGTAAGAGAGAAGTATGAGGTCGCAATGAAGGATCCGGAGTAAAGTCTCCACCTGCTGTAGATCTTTGTTCTAAATTGAGAAGATGAACTTCTTGCTGAGACCTGAAAATTACAAAATTAATCAAGAATTAAAATCCTTAAAAAATAGAGACTTAAGTTTCATTCTCTGAATGTTAATATTATACAATTACCTGGCCAAATGGCGACGTTCTAACATATGCACATCTTTATTATTGGTAAATAGTATAGTTCCATATGGACTGGTTTTGTCTAATATACCATTGTACATCAATAGGTCATCAACTAATATCTGTGATTATAATTTATTGTAGTTCTTCATTAATACAAATTTTAAAGATGTCTTTATTGCATTAGATATATATATTACTTACTCCAAACTCTCTGACTTTTCTTTGCGGAGTCTTTGCATAATTCCATAATTTAATCATGGAAATCGTACGAGGCTCATCAAATACAATATATATCCTGTTTGTCTATGAATATTCATAATGTTACAATCCTTCAAACTTACTAAGAGTTCCATCTTACCTGACCAGGTAGTATTGGGGCAAGCCACATATGTTGTCCATCAACAGTATCATTTATACCATCCACTAATTTATCAGGAGTTCTGGCATCCTTTTCTATACCCTCCAGTACATTAACACTTTCTGGATGTGCCGCTATATCTAGCATTAAATATAAAATAATTACATCAAATTTAATGGACACATTCTTTTTTTTTAATCAACATTCTAAAATCACTTACTGTCTGGAGTCAGGGCAATAAGTTTTCCACTCTCTTCGAACAGTTGTATGCCATTCAAACCTACATAGTAAGGATCGCCCCATGAAGAAAAAATCATTATTTGATAAACAAATCCTTGTGGCATAAGTGGAGCTTCATATTCCATATCATTATAAAGGCTCTCTAAAAAAATTAAGATAATTATCCAAATCACAAAAGAAAACCTTCAGAAATTTAATTTGAGTACCTCTAGGTGATATTGTGAGACAAGACACATGTTGTTCAGATAATTTTTGTAAGTGGGGATGATTAACAAAACTAATATGTTGCACAAAATCATAGTGCAAAGACCCAGGCGCTCTCCTCAGTACGAAATCGTTCTCGTCATCAAAAACTGACTTTCCATTTAGTTTGACTATTAATTGCTTTACCTTTGATCAAGATTATTGGAATAAAGTATATTTAATTCTCATAACTACGCATAACTAATAAATCTTACTCCGCAATATGACGTATCCAATGATGCATTATAATTCCATATTTTCATGCCAGTCAAAAACATCTCTGTATTCAAAACAATTGTTATAGTGACATCAATGCCGGGTACATAAGGAGATGCCCACATGTGTCCTGAATCAGTCGTTAAATTCTTTCCATCAATCAATTTCTGTAGATTATCGTTACATTGATTGCAACGTAAAGTAGCATTTAGTAATGATACAACAGAGTCTTGATCGTCTATAAATTCTATACCAGTTAAACCTGTAGACAGTAAGTGATGTATACGTCAAGGACACATTGGCATATATGAACATATCAAAACCGATACGAATACCTATCATGTTAGGTTGTCCCCAATTTGAAACAAATATCATTTGTATTTCTTGACATGCGAAAGATAATGTATTATTATTGCTGTAACTAGATGAATGTAATCGTTCAATACTGGCACACGTATGTGGACGTTGTTCCTGAAAAATATGTAATGACAAGAATAAAAAATTCATAAAGTGTAATTATATATATCACACAGTCTAATAAAAGTGTATATCCTAAGCTTATACTAACTCCAATATCTGCTGTTATGGGTCTGTCTGTTTCTATGCTAGGAGACTCTACAGCAGAGTCAATTATGTTGTAAGTTTTATCATTCTTCGATATCAATTCCAATATACGTTCGTTGGTCGTGAATAGGATAGTCTGAAAGAACATTTAATAATTTACTTGCGAATAATGAAGTATTTAATATTTACTTACGTCTCCAAAGGAATTGACATTTCCAAAAACTGCTCCTGATGCTTTGACAATTTCACCATGAAATATTGTAGTCTTATCCAATTTCATTGTTATCTCACGGGCTCCTCTGTAGGAATGAATTCTTGATTTGTTGTAATTCTAAGGAATCAAGAAACGTTTTGTACATTGTAAATTAATTTTGTGTAACCATGTCTTACCCATATTCTAATCATTGCCACATTAACTGCTTTCTCAAAAGTCATATAAATGTAATGATGATGACCATTAGTAAATGGAGCCAACCATAAATTATAATCGTCCCTAGTTTGATTGATCCCGTTAATGAGATTGTTAATGACTCTAGGGTCGTTATTGTATTCTGTTAATACGTTTATATCGGCTGGTTCAGCACGTACCTGGAAATAAACACAAAAAGAAAGGTTGCTTAAGTATTTTATAATCGATTCTCCAAAAGGAGTAAAGTTTCTTGATGTGTGTACCTGAGTCACAAGGACTGGTTCTCCTGTATTTGAGAAAATTTCGATTCCATTCAGTCCCACATAATGCTTATCTCCCCAAGTACTCAGGATATCAATGATCAATGATTTTCCGTGTGGCAATTCTGGTATAATGAAGTCATAGCTAAATTTTCTGCCTGGAACCATGAGCTACTTGTATAATGATATTACACAGGGGACCATTGCTATTTGAGCAAAGGGTATAACATAAATACCAGGATAAAGATCAAAACTTAGTTAAATATTATTACATGCACTACATAATAAACTACAACCACACTTTTTATGCATAGACATTTATTTCAAGTGATACATCATTGAGACATGCTACACGTGGATTACCTACCTCTTGGTGGGTACCGTTTGCTATGGTATAAATGTAGATTATCCTGGTACGAAGATTCATCAAAATGTTGCTTTACCTCATAATCTGAGGTAATCAATCCAGCATTTTTCACTGTTTCATGTGACAATTTATCAGTGGCTTCTGAACAAAGTCCAGTCGTTCTATCATTCTCAATAAGGTTCAATGATAAATCATTTGCTACTTCCTCTTCTCGTTGAGAAGTTATTCTGTGTTCAACAGAAAGGTCTCCACCTGCTGCCATACCAGCGAGATAATCCTGTCTTCTTTTAACTATCCCTGGTGTAAAAAGACAATAATTAAAATGACACCCATTAACCAGAATCATTTCATTGATATATAATAATTTTTACATCAAAGTTTACCTATTGGTAATTGGACATCCTTTGAAGTTAGAATTTCTCCAGAATCCACACCCGTGTAAGGTTCAATTTCAATTCTGGATGGTCTATTAATTTTTGACGGTGGTTCCCGCGTTACTCCTCTTCCTATTCTAGCTTGTCTGTCCAAAGCTGAAGTCCTTGCAAAAAGACGCTCTTGATCTTTCGGTTCCTCATAATTACGCAAATGTATTGCATTATGGAGATCATGAAGCGGCGCACTGACAGAATCCATTTCCGTTCGCCGCCTCGATTCTCTCTCATTCAAATAAGCATCTAAATCATGAAAGTCACATTTGGTTTCCTCGTGGGAACCAAAAGAGGGAAAGGCTGAATAGGCCCGGGTTGACCTTTGTCTCCTCTCATAAAGTTCTCCATTAAGATACTGCGGTGTATTCGGAAGAGACGTGGGGGCAGTAGACTGGAGAACGACGCAGCCATCGACATCCGGCAAATTATCAAAAACGAATTCTTCGGATCTTAAAAAAGAAAACATTAGACTTTTTTACACAGAAAATTTTTACTTTAATAATTATTACGTTACCTTTCTTCATGAGACTTCTTATCAAGTCCATCGGTGTTTAAATTTTTTTCATCATCATCCAAAGTTAAAGTTTTAAATGGCAATGAAGAATAATCTTCCCTGATACTTAATTTCTTGACACTCCTATTAATAAAACAGTGTGATAATTAATTTCAAAACCGTAATAAGAATAAAAATTAATATTAAAGTTTAAGCAACGTACTCCGTCATTTCCAGAAGCCAAGGTGGCAGTTTCTTTAGAATTCCTGTGGCTGGTGAAACCATCCTATTGTTATTCATGACTTTGTCCATTTTCCAATATGTATTATTCCAAAAACGTAATATATACTAAAAATATTCCAAGAAATTTTAATTCACACGAAAAGCAACACCGATCACGGGCGAATTTACAATAGTCGAAAGACACGAACTGTGGTCTGGATTCTTGTATGAATCAAGTGAATTTAGTTGCCTTCCTGTTAAATTCCAAGATAAATGAAGAGCAATAGACGCTTTTAATGGACGACTACGCTCATTCGACATTTTGACTAACCCTGACAATGGTCACAGCACTACTGAACCAGCGTGTTGACTCTTTACAGTGAAAACGTTGTCATGGTTACTGAGAAGTATTTTCAACAAAAGCATGCAGCCTCAAAATTACATAATACGTACAGACAATGAAAAATATTTTTCTCGTTTAAAAGTACAGGTTTTATTCTATTTCCCCGTACTACTAATATATGGACCAGTCATCACCATTATCAATGATAGCCTGGTTTTTTCTAGACATTCTTGCAGCAGGGTTTTCTGCATATTTATATGGGCGAGAGCACCATATCTTCCGAATTTCAAAGGAAAGTTGCTTCAATGCGCAGACATGTTTTTTTTTTTGAGTCTGAACTTGAAGAGCAAGCAGCGGTTCTCTGTCCGTTTCGCATCCGGAGAATTTGCGGGCCACCTGAACGTTGTTATGCCGTTTTCAGCTTTCCACTATTTACAAGGGCGGCTGCGATGTTGTGGATCTTCTTAAAATTTCCAGGTGGTTTTGCCATTACCGAACCAACGCTTAGCAGATTACAATAAGCATTTTTTACAGATTTCACACATCTTTTCTGCGTTGAGATTGTCGCTAAACAGTGAGAGACAGCCAAAACAGCGTTTACAGAAATACCCTCAAACACTAATTTTTCTCTGTTTTTTCACAAACGGCGAATCGAGCCGTCAGCTGATGTTGACCATGCTCAAAAAAAGCCTCCTCTGTAAAGATTACGTTGTTCGAATCCTTATTAATATTTTCACTTGCCCACTTCTCTCGTTTTCACATGTTTTTGTAAGAGAATCCAGTTTTGCATAGACACATCGGATTCGGGCATTATAGGCAGTCATTTCAATGTTCAGTGAATATATTTCAATATAGTAAACTTAAAAAGCAAACTAACGAGTAAAATAATGTAAAATAGAAAATTTTAGATCTGTATATTGTATTACATACTTTATTTTGGAATAGCTAGTATACTATTTCAAATGCCACAATTGAACACTTGGTATCTAATATAAAGACAGCTATACGCTCTAGTCTGTTACACATCACGTAGTGTTTATGAAAAAAAATAATTAAAATAATACAATTACATTTGATTTCTCAGCATCTTTGTACTTCATTCTTTACTACAATTATACCTCTTACGCCGAATATACATAGATTATGGAAACTACAATCGCAATATCAATATTTAGTACGTAAAGCCACAATAGCAAACGTTATATACCCTCGTTCGTTAACTATTGTGTCTAGTATTTTCATTCTTAAAAAATAAAATATGGTGATTCTGCGTCATGATCTTAGACAATCATCGCTCTCTGGTCTCGCCAATTATCCTGGCATATAATGCCCGCTTATAAAGACATTGCTTAGGGCGTCTAACAAATCTGACCTTTGGCACCCGAGTTTACACATATGTATATGTAGATAAACAATGAACAATAATCTGACGGATGCGTCTCTCGTAAATCAGATGTAAATCGGCTTGGAAGAAGACGCATGAATATTAAAATGTCGAAAAACGTTTTGACATCAGACGATGATAGACATTATTACTGAAGTTTTTCCTATCCCTGTTTTTTTCTTTATTAATATGATTTTCATCCTGCAGACACGGGCAACACAAAGTGTATAGCTTGAATTGCATTGTGATGTTAATATTGTATCACATATCAAGATACATTACTCAATGATACACCGCTGACGTAAAATCAGACCACGTCTCTTACAGAGAACTTAGAAGCCTTGATAACAATTTGATGATTATTAATCAAATTTGTTATGACACAATTTCACAAAATGATTTCGAATCTACTATTTCAGCTCGTAGAAATATCTATCCATCCTTTTTGTGTATATAAGCAAACCAGATTGTTTAGAGTGTTGTCAGAAACACTGAAATAATTTATTCTCCCCACTTTGTTCCTACCCTTGAAAAAATTGCACATTGTACGTCGATTCAGACATTGTTCCCAAAGCGAAAAGTTATTTAAAAAAAAATATGATCCCATGAAAGAGAGCAACACGACGGAGCTAATAATAATAATAGAAAAAAGAAAGAATGTTTTTAATAAAATATACAGTAAAACAATCTATCCTCGTAAATATGGAATTATAGCAGTTCCACAAAAATATATGTATATCTTTATTGTGTACTGTGCTATTTGATCGTTGGTACCTTTGTCTATATAGTTATGCCTATATGTGTATATACAACCGAGAAGAGGAGCTTACTGAAATGGAACATTATCTAGAGATATAAATTGCGTCTTCAAGGATTCTAATTTTATATATATCTCATTGATTATAGAAATAAGTTCCATGCAAGATCTCGGCATTCAATCACTTTAGAATGTATTCTATAGTTCTAAATGAGATTTCAATAAATTAGGTAACGGTGGTATGTTTGATGCAGTTGCATCCTGCTTGATTTCGGTGATTTCAGGATAGAGATGGTACAGTATAGCATAATAATGAAATGAAGCAGCAGTAGCTACAAATATGTGCCAGATCGCATGAGCACAGGGTATCCGCCCATCGGACTTGAAAAATATTAATCCAAGCACATAAATCAAACCACCCACCTTGAGCTCTGCAATGACGTTAAACTCACTCTGAAATTGATAATATTGATATATAATTAAATCTTACATAAATTACAATAATTAATAAGGGATAATAAATTCACGTACAACATTGACGATTGCAATACTGGGTCCAACACCCATAACTAAATAAAAAACGGTTTCCAGCATTTTGTATCGTTCGTGGAAGACTTGTTGATAGAGAATTCCTAATGTGGCCATAATCCACACAAGATATCGCATAATTGGTAATAAAAAGTTATCAGGAAAATCCTTAGCATTCAGCCATGGAAAATAGGTTGCTGCTATGAAAACGTAGATCATGGCGCGGTCACACCGATGAAGAACGTCCTTTAATGGCCTGCATTAAGGAAATCCAATTATCCAATTTAGTGTTACACTCTAAATTATACAACATTATGTGAAGGTAAATATATTATTGGATTACTTATTGTGGTTGCAGTAGTGTACGCTGTGGAAGAACGTGGACACGGTGAAGACCAAAAGTAAGGCGGTACCGTAAACACTAGCGGATACAAGTTGAGTCCAAGTTGTAGATCGATTTATTAATTCAAGGGCTGCTATCAAAGAGGGTACTACCCAAATACCATGAGTAACTACATTCGCAACGTGCTCCACAGGGGTTGGAACATATGCCTCGTTTGTACACGCTCGCGAATTCATCCATTTCACCCTAGAAAATATAGAGGTCTTAAGTTTTGTCTGAAAACATATTGATAACATATTGGTATAATCGTTATTTGAATGAAAAGCACGTGCTACATCTAGTTCTAATGTTAATGACTTTCCATTGGAGATACTCTAAGATACCCTTTGAACTTTGCCTTGAAGAGATAAGAAACTGAAGTTGTAGAACTGCTTGATTAGTCAGATTCGTTAACGTATAAATCCTGCTTGCCTTTGCATAATTCGATTTTATATAAGAGCTTTTCAAAGTAATCATCTTCATGGTCTATAATGCACCCTTGTTTGCGAGCTTTTAATGTTATGTTACGTTATGTAAGAGTGTAGTTATATATCGAAGTGTAACTTGCACATTATATAAACCGGTATGCAGTTTTTTTTATATAAGACGGAGAATCGATGAGTAAAATGAATTTTAAGCGCATGCATAATGCAGTTTTGTCCGTGTGAAATATTAAGAAATCTAATGAAATATAACAAAGACCCCTGCCGCCGAGCATAAATATGAAAATACTGATCAAAATATAAGTATAATAAATAATAATCCTATTCGATACCAGTAATGCAGTTGCCATATGAACCAATTTCCATCTGCAAAACTGAATAAGAATTTGCTGACTTCTTGCCCATGTAATAAAGGTACAGCAATACTGTATACCTTAATTCTGACGATTTTGTTTCCCTTGAAATTTATTTAAAGGTTCCTCGATGATAGCTGGATCACATCAACCCTTGTCCATGATAGTGTAGAATTAGAAGATAGTAGAATGTTGCGTTTAATACATTACCCTTGTACTATGGGTGAAATATATATGTTCATTCCAATCCACATACTTTAGAGTTTCCAAAACATGCATACCTTTGAAAATGATATTAAAATACATCTAGTTCCAAACAACATACAATATTAAATTATCGCATTAAGACAAAACAATATATAACAAGCTGTGCAAAAAAGAAAGCTACATTAACAAAGTCTCATATCTAATAGGTTAGCATTAATATTCTTTAAAAATAAAAGTGATACAATCAACCGTTTGTAATAATCTGTCTGTAATTGTAAAAAGAAAAAAATATATAGAAATCAAAACATACTGTACCATGCACCATTAATTGAGTACAAAGATTTGTATAATTTAATTGAAACTCCACTGCTTACTCTTTGATCCATTGTAACTGCAGTAGATTCTTAATAGGTGCAGAGATGATTTCATGAAGACGAGATCCATCCATATTGAGATTCATTATTACAAGTGGAATTTAAGGTATATAAAGTATTAGATATCTTGTCATAGTATTAATCCTATTAAAGTATGCTCCTCTCAGAGCAATTTGTTCTGGTAAAAATCCATGTTTCCATATCATCAGTCACTATTACTGCACCTAGACATAAATTTACAATTGTATATAATAAAACTATCTCAGTATAAAGAAAGTACATAAATAAAACTTCTTAACAAAGTTTAAATGGTAGACAGTTGATGTCTATGGCCTCACTTTGATTTAATACACCATTAGATTATTGGAGTAAAAAGAGTATAAAGCCTTTCAATAATAATGAACCATATATACTCTATTCATATGAAAGTCGCTAAATGATCATTTCCTTTTTCCATTCCTCAATAATGAATGCTACGAACTGCACGAGAGATTTTCCTACAATACAATACTCGTAATATTAAACGACTTTACTACCTTTTTTTCCCTCAATACTCACCACCTGAACTCTTTACTCTTACCTGGCATTTGCTAACCAGTGAACTAGTTATTAATTATACAGTAGCCAAAAAAACATACATGTACAGTGTACAAAAGGAAAAGTAATTGTCAAGGAAAAATGAATCTTACCACACACCAAGTCCGTTACTCCGAACACCATGAGCCGCTAGGGCAGACTGGCTATTGGCAGAGTGTCAACGAGTCTACACGAGCGACAACGACGTCTGACAACGCACACTCTTGCTAATCCTTATTCAATATATTACTGGTGTACATAAGTACATCCTATTTGCACATTTCTTCATACATACTGCTACACGACTACATCTACGAATAGATACGTAACATACATATATGAACGCACTTTGTCTTTTGCATTTGAATTTCATTGGGCTTTATGACTTGACCTTTTCCTTTTAAAAAAATACCTAATAAATTCAACGTCCGTTTATATTCGTGTCTATACAAAGATTACAGTCTGGGGAATAGTAGATTATTATAATCCAGCAAAAGTAACAGTGAATAATTAAAATATAGCTACTAATGAAACTCATTGGTCTAGTACATATGTAATGTAAGGCTTGGGTATGATAAGATTTATTAGAATAGCGTAAAAAATATGTTGAAAATAAACTATTGGCTAATGTGTTTCTTGTTGCGAAATATAGGTCATTAAGTTTTAACGTGACATTCTTGCTGAGTGTTGAAAAAGATGAGAGTATGTAGTTGGCTTGAAGCTGGAAAGAGATTTTGGATCCATCGAGAAAGATGGATGATAAGTAGATTTGACAAAAAAGGGCCTCTATACATAAGAGAAAGGCAAATACATAAGTAAAATTAGTCTGTGGCATGGTGAAGGTAAACGGATAGGTTGGTAGGTGGGAGAATAAATAACAAAGTGATGTCGACCTCGGTCTCCCCGTTGCCAGTAACATCACAATAATAATAATAACGAAGGCTTCTACGCGTTACCATAGAAACGGAACGGAACGGAACGCGGTCTGATGTTTCAATTCTGAATGTTCCCAGTGTCAGTCGCGAATGTCAGCTGTTCAGTTCAATATGGAATGATGGAATGATAGCAGTGCAGTCACTTGTAGGAATTCTCTCTGGCAGGAATCTCGTGTAAAAAGCAGAGAGTAAAACAGTTACGTTAACAAAAGGTTCCACCGATTTATGCAAAATCTAGCACGCAACGTGGATGTATTGACACAAGGACTAAAATACGGCATATCCGGACTCATGAACCTCGCAAATCAGACCGCGGAACCTCAGAGTGGTGTTTTCTTTGTTAACTTCAATCAGGACTGCACGTAAGTGATGATTCTATATAGAGAGGGAAGGTCGTTAATAATAATAATGTGATCCAATATCTGCTATTGCCTTAAAATATTACAAATGTCCTAAAAAAATGAAAAATCATCCCGCCCAAACGGTGATAGAATTTTTTAACATAAGCATCATTCACTTCTTGCGCGCTTGTTGTCGCGCAGCCAGTTCCTTGCTGTTTTCGTCACCTGCACGAATCTTCGGAACCCCTGTCACTCCACGCATTAATTGCGTATCAACTTGAAATGCGAACTACTAGTTACTAGCAGCTTAGTATGACGCAATGACTGTCGCTTAAATATTCTCGATTCTGTTAATGAGGAATTCACTCTCACTTCAGCTCCATACTTTTGCATTTTTTCTATCTTTCTCTCTGTCTTTTTTCCCACCTCCTTTGTTTCACATTGCTTTGCACGGTTGCCTCAACGGTCATTAGTGGTCTTTACCTGCTGCGTTTGTATTGGTTATACCTTCTAATTTTACTATGCAACGCCTCTAGATGCTATTTGGTGCAAAATGTAAATAGTTTTTTTCTTCCTTTAGATATCAGTATTACTGGTCAATAATCGTAAACGTGACAGATTGTGTGTTTAGTTATTACATTAAGTGATTGTATAAGTGGATACTGTTATTTTAAATGATAGTGGCCTTTAATAATGGATGTCAAATGTTTGGAAAAGTTGGAATACTAATGTGACCTAATCTAACTTACGAAAACTATACATATCTGAATACTTATTATAGTTTTTTCTTTGATTATAATACAATTAATTTTATACAAGTAGACATATTTACACCTTCCAAATGCTTTTCTTTACTAAATATTTATAATAAAATGTTTAGTTTTTGATAAACAAAAATTAACCTAATTCTTTTGTTCGCAGATCTTTGACCGTTGGTTCGAAGACTGGTTACAAACTCTTTTCCCTCAATTCTGTTGACCACTTGGAAAAGATACATGAAAATGGTGCATATACATGAATTCAACAATAAGAATAATTATTAGAAGTATTAATTCCATCTTATATTTTTTTTCTATGATTTCAGATACCAAGGATATATGTATCATTGAACGATTGTTCAGCAGCAGCTTGGTTGCTCTGGTCAGCCTCTCTTCACCACGTAAACTCAAAGTTTGCCATTTCCGAAAGGGAACGGCAATATGTAACTACAGCTATTCAAACACGATTTTGGCCGTGAAGCTTAACAGAGCGGTTCGTATTGCTGACCATATCAATATTGATGAAGCTAATTCATAAGTCGTATAATGTCACATTTGTATTTTGTAGAGATTGGTAGTATGTCTGGAAGAATCGTTATATATTCACAATATACGTGATATGAAAGTTTTGCACACAATTCGCGACACGCCACCAAATCTGGCTGGTCTCTGTACGCTCTCAATAAACAGCGACAATTGCTACCTTGCCTATCCCGGATCAAACACTATTGGAGAAGTTCAAATATTTGATGCCATCAATCTCGTAAGTAAATTAAAAAATCATTTCCAATGTATCTTTAAAGATTAAAATGACTCTACAAAATTATCTTATTTCAGCAAGCTAAAACAATGATTCCTGCACACGACAGCCCTTTAGCAGCACTCGCTTTTAATCCCAATGGTACCAAAGTAGCAACAGCTTCGGAAAAGGGCACAGTTATCAGAGTATTTCATGTACGTTCATCTTGAATTTTTTTAATTCAATTTATTTCACAAGATTTGACAGTAATGTATCTTCCATTTCTCTAAAGGTGCACGACGGTACTAAACTGTTTGAATTTCGCCGTGGCGTTAAAAGATGTGTATCCATCAGCAGTCTCGCTTTCAGTATGGATTCGATGTTTCTGTGCTGCTCCAGTAATACCGAGACTGTTCATATTTTCAAATTGGAAGAACCAAAGGAGGCGTATGTATCATTATCGTCTCATGAGTATTTCATTCATCAGTGTCTATTAACTCAACTTATATGCTCGCAGATTATTCATAATTATTCCATAGCTTTCCTTTGTAGACATCCTAAGTTATAGCCAGTAGTTACTATTTCCAGAGCTCGACAACCACCGGAAGAAGCACAGAGCTGGATGGGTTATCTGTCGAAGGCTGTCACAGCGTCAGCTACTTATTTGCCTGCCCAAGTCTTTGACGTCTTTAATCAAGGGCGTGCATTTGCTAGTGTACACCTTCCCTTCCAAGGAGTGAAAAATGTTTGTGCCATCACTACGTAAGTTTCCACACTCTTATTTCATTGCAGTGTGATTGTGTTGAAATGAAATGTTGCATCTTACCATGTGACAGAATACAAAAGGTGCTGAGGTTGTTGGTTGCCAGCGCGGATGGATATCTCTACGTGTACAATTTAGATACAAATGAAGGAGGTGATTGCACCCTTTTGAAGCAACACAGGTTGGTCTACATCTTTTTTAAGACTCAGAAACAATCGTGTTAAATCGACAATTAGAGAATTCTGCTGTCGTGTCATTTTCTTTCATTGTTTTTTGTTTAATAAACATCGCGCACAATGTTATGCAGATTGGATGGAAAACAAGATGAAGTAGATGGCGCTAGTGTGTCCACTACCGGCTCAACTTCTGGCGAAGCGTCGGCATCTGTACCTGTGCCAGCGCAGACAGTACAAATCTCAGGTATTACACGAGAAACATTTTCATATTTTCTATAGATAAAAGTAGTGGTAAAATACGTTTACGTTGCATGGCTAAGATCGATTTAGTAAAGATTAGATTGCCCACAGAAAATTTGGCAAACAAAAGCGCTTGACTTTTGCGAGACTCGGCAATATTTTAGGTAAGCTTGGAGAAACAATATCAGTAAATTCGTATCTTGACAGAATCATATTTTAAACTATAACTATATGAAATTGCTGTTGCTAAAACTGGCCGAGCAATTCTCGCAAAATTTAAGCAAAGACAGATAAGACAACAGTCTCTTCTGTTCAAAGTTTAGCCATACATTATTCGAATATATGAAAATGGAGAAGTAACTTTTCGATGCATGAATGTTTTACGGTTCAAAATATTTTCTAGTCTTGTTATTGTAAAAGTAAAAGTGTCCCTACTATCCACGTACATGACACGTGGAAATTCACAGGAGATAATGGATCCTTGCACCATGCGCACCACATGCTTCAAACATACGAACTTACACTGAATGTCTGTGCCGTAGCATCTTTTGTACTGTCGTGTACACCCCCAGTGATTGTGTTTCCTTATTGAGTTTATTATTTTTGTACGCTTGTATGAAGATCACTTTTATAGAGTACGTTCTTAAATTCACTGCTAATACTCAGCTATACGCGGATAAACAGAGATAAGACGATAGTCGTAGTACCGGTAGTGAATTTCGGAATCTACCGATAGAGTAACCACATGCGGAACACAGCGGCATTTCGAAGCCGCTTCCAAACGTAGAATTTAATTGGACCAAATAAAGAAAGAAGATAAGTGACACAAGCTTATCGAACTTTTGTAGAATTAGCACGATTTGACTTTGCCATCGAAATGCAATTACGCGTATGTCGAGTACAAGAGCGAAGATATTTTGAACCCCTTTTTTTTAAACTAGAAAAGAGTGAAAATATGACATATAAAATGACATGATATGACATTTAAAATTTAATATATTTAGAAATTACTCATGATCAAGTGGCCTAACGGACAGATACGATTATACCCGTTTTACCTATTGAAATCGACTTAGTTGCTTGCTCCTATATAAATATAATGGTATTCTGCTACAATCCGGCTAAGCTATAATGAGCGGATTCACGACCTTATTGCTTCTTCTTTCTGCTTCTAAACCCCCTAACGAGACGGCCAATCTCAAAGGGGATATGAGGCCCTGATAGTTGACCTCACTTGATGTATTTTTTTTCTTTTTATTATCTGCGGAAGCCTGCATAAATAGCTACGCGGGTGCGTTGCGCGGCCGCTCGCCAGACTCCATGTCAGGTACTGGTATGTCCTCTATTCTCCCCCTTTTCTTGTTCTCGCTCTCTCAGTTTCAATTTTCATTTCTATTTTCATGCTCATTGACATCTAATCATTTCATTGTTATCATCGAGGCACACGAGTCATTTCTAAAGCGCATCTTTCACCTTAGTCTAATTTCTCTCTTTCTCTCTCTCTCTCTATTCCCATCTCTCTCTCTCACTCTCTCTCACTATATATATATATATCTCTCTGGCACATTCTCATGCATCCATGTATAGGAAAAACTTATGCCGATCATAAGACGTGCAGCCACCATAACAACAGGCATGGAGAGGCATGAAAAGAGGTACCATGTACTTTTATGAAAACGTTGTGGTTAGCCTCACGCGACACTGTTCCCAAACCGACAGATATACTCGAGCACTCCATAAACTTTATCACGATTGATATAGTAATTATTGTCGATTAAACTGCTGAAATATAGAAACTAGGAATCGGAACGTGGCATTTATTGCTGTTCCATAAGAGAAGGGAAGTTGCGCCACGTGAGGCTCATCGACGTGCGTCACGGTTCTGTAGGAAAAAAAAGAAGAGAAAGGCCTCGACAAATGAGACTTCTAAACGAGGATTCGAATTCTTGCTCGCTCTGCATGCCTTATGGGACGAAAGACCTTGATTCTTGAGCAAGCGAGTACCATTTTTTTTCTTTTTTTCTGAACATAGCTGATGCAGTATATGAATATATATATATATATACTATCTCCACAATCCTAATTAATACCATTGTTACACCCTAACCAGGTTAGGACATCGACGGTCATACTGTCCATGTAAAGTTGTAGATATTGTATGCGCCAGGCACCGCTCATACGTTTCAACCACCCATCTATCCATATGACACGTACACAACAAACGTAACAAAAAGAAAGTAAAACTAATAGAATAGCGCAAACGCACCTTTATTTCTGTCGCATAACGAATTATCAGGTCATTACTCAGTGGCAATTATTATAGTCGCGTTGATGCGTTTCCACATGACGTATCTACGAGGCTTTGCTGATATTATCATTATTATTACTAATCTACTATTAGTTAATCCTTAGCGTGTACTTGTGTAGTTGAGAGAAGAGTTTTTTTTTTCATTTTAGCTGTTAACCATTGGGCCTCACGAGGTATTTATATTTATTTACCAGTCCTACATCAGAAACCTCTTATTATTTGATAGCATTCTTTTGAGAGATTCTTCCTCTTCCTACCCAATCATGTGCGATCGATACCTCATTGACGGATAAAATCCCATTAACCCGCTCCATCTGTCCATATATACATATGTATCGTACCTTGTTTTGAATCTCCCGCCTTAACCTATATACTCCCCATATATGTAATACACGTGCGTAACTACTATATCATCACTGCATCACCGTTAACACGTACAATCATTTATCGAACGTTCGTTCGATCTATTATTTTTTTTTATCAGCAGAGGAGAAAGGGATCCCGGTACCAGTACCTAATACGGAACGATCAATTGTAGAATCCGAAAAATATCACGAGATGGTAGCTGCCACCGAGAGTCCACCGAAGGGTGGATTTCGTCTGGACGATGACACTGAGTTCCCACCCGTGACGCAAAGAACCGATTGAAGAGAATATTTCGAAGATTCTGACATATCAAGGAAAACTGAGAAAGTTGCGACGACAAAAAAAAAGAGGGAGGACATCACACAAAAAAAATATAAAATACGTTATAAACTGATCGAGTGACGAAAAAAAATAGACAATGGGTTTTATGAAGGGAAAAGAGATTTTTAAAAACATGCAAAGTGGACCATATTGCGGTAGCTTGGTTTTTTTTTTTTTTTTAGTTGCTTGAACGGCAACGACATTGTTGGTCTCAAGGATTGCCTAGAAGACGCTGGGTATGGATGAAATTGTCCATGAGATGTACTATTTACAATGCTAGACACAATGTATGCACGTGGGATATAAGGCACGTTACAGCGGCCAGCTAAGAGATACGTTTTACTGTGTACCAAACAATCTTTGGAACTGCATTTTTACTTCTGAATTAATTCTTACTTTAGATTTACTTCGAAAAGGATATTCAAAATCGGTGCCAATTAGTAGATCTACTCAGGCTGAGGCGCGTGGGCCTTAACGTCGTTTTGCGAAAAAAAAGTTGATTGATATAAAGCAAACTTGTATATTAATTAGAGCACTGTGTTTTATCGTAACTGTAATCCCTATGTAACCAAATGAACATATAATTTGAATTACCGTAATTTTCCGAATAGACCGGAACATACGGGAGTTTAGTTAATAAAAATGCTAGGCCAGTGTCATAGGTCTACGATGTCCTTCGACAATTTTATACTAACACTTGTCTCGTTTGGTAAATAGTTTTACTTTTATAAAAATGAATAAAATGCTAATTAACCAGTGTACATACGAAGGCTTACTGTATTGATGTTACTCTATATAATTTCATATTATCGATAATACGTGATTACACTAATAAATACGATATGGATTTCAATGCTTCAATTTTTCAATCCCTGACAATTGTCACGCTGCCATTACCCGACTAAATCGTAAATCAATTAGGTTCCATCGATTCAACATTCTTGCAATCATTTTCTTCTATTATAAACGAACTACTGTTCTCGACCTTCGATCAGTTCTTGTTGTAATCCTTTTTTTTTTTTCAATCATTTTTATATTTATTCTTCCGATAGAATACATCGGACAAATCACGTTCCTATTAATTACAGCCCGTATTAATCAATAGCAATTCAATCACACAGTGTTAATAGCGTAAATTGGTATTTTAAATAATAAAGCCAATACCTGATGGTAGAAACGTTCGACGTTTTAAGTTTACATAACCTAAAAACTATCAGTAAGAAAATACCCACCGATAAATCCAATAACAATAGCTGATAGAGGTATGATTCAATCATCTCGCCGGAACGTGCACGATTTTTCATTATTTTATTATTCATATTTCATTGGAAAAAAATTTCACATTTTCGCAAACGAAATTAACGGAATTATTATATCCTGGCTGAACTCTATTCGAGGAATTATTTGATTCTGTTTTTCATTAGTTTGTGTCTCTGCTGTGGTTATCCTTGAACGATGTGCATCGGCTCAGTCAATATTAAGACCCAGGATTGTCATACCACAATGAGAAAATTGAATGTTAAATTTTTTAAAAATTTGAATTCTCAAATTCTAATCCTCGTATATAGCTTAGCCACGTGCGTTATGAATGATCCTAGCGGGGCTACACTCCCGTAAATTCTCCATGAGCTCCAATGTCTCATGGGGTATATAATATAACAGTGGCAATTTATCAAAAGGGTCTATCGTCTTTATCAGTATTCATCATAAAACATGTCACAACATTCAATTATAGAGCGTTGCCGCAGGAAATTAAATTCCTATAACGCGCGTTTATGAAATTTATGAGATGATATTTTGACGGTGGTTCTAGATTGTCTATTTAAAAAAAAAAAGGGTACATAGCAACGATAGATATTTATCATTGTTAATGATGAAAGGTACAATGCAATTAGGTAAATGATGGTTTGGCGCATGATTTGAAGAAACATGGCTTTCATCCTTTGTATCGCGTTAATGATATAGTCAGGATCGACCTTAGTTCCCTCTGCGCAATATAAAAAGTTCGTTATGCAATTTGTTTATTTGGACATTAATGGTGGACCATAAAAAATTATGGTTGCATGTAAAATATGTACGGTAACAGACAGGCCCTTTTGTTGTGTGCTCACTGAAATGAGATACAGAGAAACGAAGACTTAGCTATAGAGATCATCGTCGCCGTCATCTTGGAAGGGCTGATCACCTTGCGTTGTGTCTTGTGGGCCACCCGTACCGCTCTGTGGGAATCTGTATTAAAAAGATTATATAAAAATAAGCTACATTGTTTCCCTAAATGTTGGCTAATAAAGATGTAATATGATCTAATCTAATTGAATCATAAATTCACCTGAAGTTGGTACCAAACCCTCGAGATTGTTGAAGAGTTTGAGCGAACATTTCGTATTTGCGAATATCATTGTCGGATACAGAACGACGAGCGAACCTCATCGCCTCCTCGAAATGCGCCCGCGTAATCTCAGGCACCGGATCGTCCTCGTCCATCTGTATGCATATGAAATAAATAAATAATTTAACGAGAATTATATTTTAGTTAGATTCAAAATAACAATAATACTCGCATCCATAGATACACTTGGGTTAGCCGCACGCTCCTTTTCCCTGCGAATTTCAGTTTCGATGCACTGCCTGATAGCTAATTTACAGGCACGTTGACAAATTTCTGTCAAGTCAGCACCCGAGAAGCCGTGCGTCACTTTGGCGATATAAGTCAAATCCACATCCTAAATTACAGAGTAAATAATAAATAATATCGGAACTCCTTTATGAGATAATCATAATACAGTAGATATGAAGATTTTTAATTACCTTAGCTACTGGAGACTTGCGTAAATTAGCCCTGAAGATAGCTTCGCGAGATTTCTCGTCTGGCAATGGGATGTAAATTAACTGGTCCAATCGACCGGGTCGGAGAATAGCAGGGTCTATGATATCGGGTCGATTTGTAGCACCGATAATGAACACATTCTTCTTGGCACCCATTCCGTCCATCTCGGTTAGGATCTGATTAATAACACGATCAGCAGCTCCGCCAGCATCACCGACGGTACCACCACGTGATTTAGCGATAGAGTCGAGCTCGTCAAAGAAGAGCACGCAGGGTGCTGCTGATCTAGCCTGAATAATCGAATCGTATTGAAATAAACACAATGCAATTTCAGAGTTACCGTTGAAGGTGATGAATTATCAATTGTACCTTGTCGAACACATCCCTCACGTTAGCTTCAGATTCGCCGAACCACATAGTCAAAAGTTCTGGACCCTTAACGGATATAAAGTTGGCTTGACACTCGTTGGCTATGGCCTTGGCTAAGAGGGTCTTACCGCAACCAGGTGGACCGTAGAAGAGTACACCCCGTGATGGTTGCATACCAAACTTCAAGAACTTATCTGGATGCTCGACAGGATACTAGATAAGGAAGAATAGTTTATTATTTTTGAGATAATGTATCACGGTATGCACTTTCTATGGGACTGAATTGCGACGAACCTGAACTAACTCTTGCAGCTCCATTTTGACGTTTTGTAGACCACCGATGTCGTCCCAAGTAACGGTCGGTACTTCCACGATAGTTTCACGCAGAGCACTAGGACTGCTCTTACTCATGGCGTACTATAAACAGAAGATAATCATGTTACAAAATGGAGTCTGATCATTCATGAAATTATAGTTCATTAGTTTCTTTATTACTTTGAAGTTCTCCATTGTTACAGCAAGAGAAGACAAAACTTCAGCATCTATCTGATCATCTTCCAAGTCGATAAGATCCATTTTCTCTCGAATCTGTTGGAGAGCAGCCTCTGAGCAGAGTGAAGCTAAATCCGCACCAACATGGCCATGAGTTTCAGCAGCTATCTATTTTTAAAAAAAATTGTATATAAAGTTTTTGTCCAATGAATAACAGTTGGTTAAAATTTCTTTATTCTTAATAGTACTAACTTCTTCTAACTCAACGTCATCGGCAAGCTTCATATTTTTTGTATGGATACGAAGAATCTCCAAACGGCCAGTTGCATCCGGAATGCCAATATCGATTTCTCTATCAAAACGACCAAAACGACGTAGTGCTCCATCGATACTATTTGGTCTATTAGTGGCTGCCATTACAATAACATGAGCACTCTGCTTCATTCCATCCATTAAAGTGAGAAGTTGTGACACAATACGTCTTTCGACCTCTCCATGTGTCTATAATAGAAATATATAAAATATTGAAATTATATGAGGGCCGAATTGAGTTGATTAAAGAAAATTAATATTAATTGCAGTTATTTACCTTTTCTCGCTTTGGCGCAATAGCGTCCAATTCATCGATGAAAATAATAGCCGGTGAATTCTTCTCAGCCTCTTCGAAAGCCTTTCGCAAATTGCTCTCTGATTCTCCGGCAAGTTTGCTCATTATCTCAGGTCCATTTATAAGGAAGAAGAAAGCTCCTGTCTCGTTTGCAACTGCGCGAGCGATTAGTGTCTTTCCGGTTCCTGGCGGTCCGTACAAAAGAATTCCACGTGGTGGCTTTACTCCAATGGCTTTAAAGAGCGATGGATGCCGTAATGGTAATTCTACCATTTCTTTAATTTGAGCCAACTGTTTGCGCACACCACCTATGTCATCGTAACCGACTGCATTTAAAGCTTCTTGTTCCTCCTGGAAATATCAGGATAATAAATGATTAGCCTTACCAAAAAAATATTTTTTTGTAATCAAAAAATTTGTTAGTATACCTCTCTCTTGATAGGATCACCTTCGCAGTGAATCACAGTGTCAGGAGCCACAATACAATATGGACCTGGATCAGTTTCTACTACTTTGAATTCCACTGCTCTCATTCCACCTCGCACAATAAAGTTATCATCTTTGTGAATGGGACGATATGCTTCTAAGAAGTATGGCTTCAAAAATACTTCAAACAAATTTCTAGTAATAAAGAAATTCGAGTTTTAATAACCGCAAAAAAGAGGAAGACAGGATTATAATTACAAAATTGTAATCATGAAAAGTTCCTTACCCAGTAAGACCCTCGACTGTATCATCCAACGGCAATACGTGAATGCGCTTTCCGTATTTAACGTCAGGACAAGCTTGAACAGAAACTACATCGCTAAGACGAACACGTAAGTTATTTCTTACAACACGATTCATACGAATCTTTTCATCTGGACATTGATCATCAGAGAGAACAATACAGACGGTCTCCTTGCGTCGTTTTCCTTTCAATAGAACCGTATCTCCACGGAATAATTGTAATTCATCCATTTTTGCTTGCGAAAGAGCAACCACTGAGTTGTCATCATTTGTAGCTTCCTCCACCAAGAGCCTGTTTGGCCTGTCCTTCTTGCGAAGAATTGCTGTAGCCAAATCTTCTCCTCTGTGAAAAATTGGCATTAAAATGATTTGTTAAAACATTGGAGCAGAATTTTTATTTTTCATTCTCTATAAAAGTATAATTCATTATTGAAAGAATCCATGATGGCATAAAAAATAATTCATAGCATGGAAAATATATTAAGAACAAAAGTTTAATAATGATTTAACATAAAATAAAAACAATTTGGAAAAATCTTTCAACATTTTTGCATAATTATAATAGTTTTTAATATTTCAACATAAACTGGCATCGATGAAATAATTAAAAAAAATATATATTATTTAATATGGTTGACAATATGACAAAGTAAAGAATTCTACTTTCATTCATCTGAGAGAACTACAATTACTTTGCCATTTGTAGTATTTTAGTAATAAATATTTCTACTATGAATATTCCGGAATGATAATCAATAGAAGATTTCATCATATAACAGTGATTTCATGAAAAGATCCTTTGTCATGTCATGCCAGCTTGGTCATGATCGCTCGAAAGAAAAATACAAATAAGTCGAAATACGCAAAGAAAAATGAAGCTTTATTATTAAACAGATTTACAAAATATAGTTCCTCAAGACGCGATCAGATTAATATAACAGACTGATAAAAATTGTATAAAACATCGCGCGGCGTCGACATGATGACAACGTGAAATTGAGAAGCAGGAGTAGCAGCAGTCGCGCTCACAAAACCTTACGGTCTTTGAACATTTAAGATCGACCGGTGAAGCCATAATGCCGGGAAAAAATGTTAAAACCCGAAATAGGTACAATATTTCCATAAACGACTTAACTTATTATCTTACTTACCCCTTTGGGTCACTCATTGTTCAGGATTTCTTGAAAAACGTAAGCAAGCGTAACGATCACGAACCGTAGTAAAACTCGCACGAACTGCTGCCGACAGTCTGGTAAATCCAATGAACATCCTTCATTCGAAACTGTCATGGCCTCTTGCCACTGTTGCCAAATATAAAAAGAAATAAGCACATCACTCATGAAAACCTGACCTGTGTGAAGTTGACCGGCTAACTTTTATTTTTTGAACTTTTTCTTATTCCAATTTTTTGATAGTCATTTGATTATTGTATTTGATAGTCTTGTAAAAACATTTGATAGTCAATAGTTTTTTCAGAAAATCAAAATCAAAATCTGGTGTGAAGTGGCTGGCACTTTTTTGTTTCTAATTGGATTTAGCTTTTCAGGAATTCAAACGATGCAGAATCGTTTGATAGCTGCAAATTAACTAACAAAAAAGTTTTATAGTTGGCCGTTTGCTAGAAAAATGAAAATAAAACATATGCCAATCGAGGATCTCAATCGATACGATACAATCGATTCCTCGATCGGTATGTATCCATTGAATTAGTCAACATTGCCAACTTCCAATTTTGATAGTGTTGATGATGGTCTTATAAAAAACGTTTGATTGATAATAGTAATAGAGACACTAGAAAGTGTCTCGATCAAATGCATACAATACACAGAGAGACAACGATGTATTTTTCGTTCTTGGTTCATTTTCGAACACACCCATAGTGCTCAGGAAGACGTAAAGAAAACGTGCACGACCGGACCTATGACTTTTCCCGGGTTCAATCAATGCAGAATCCTTTGATAATTATGATGAATTAACAAAAAGAAACGTTTCATAGTTAATAGTTTTTTTCAGAAAACCCAAATCAATATCTGGTGTGAGGTTAGCCGGGACTTTTTTGTCTCCAACCCGATCACCGGACTTACATAGCTTTTTTTGGAATGAATCGATGCAGAATCATTTTATAGTTACGAATTAACTGATAAAAACGTTTGATAGTCCATTATTTGCTAAAAAAAAGGAAAAAATCTATGTGATTCGAAAATCTCAATTGATATGACGCCACAATCGATTCCCCGATCGGTGTTGTGTTCATTGAATTAGGGAATATTGCAAGTCAGATAATTCAATTTTTTTTTTCCTTTTAGCTGTGAGACACGTATTCCTAACATTTATATCTACCCACTAGTTGTAACAATATAATTTTATGAAGTAGCGTTAAATTTCGGAGAAGAATAAGATAACCTGTGTTGACTTATTTTCATCTCAACGAGATCTGCACACGTTGATTTTTGTACTTGTTATTTCTATTAAGAACCTTGTTGTTTTCAATAAGCTGCATTTGTCCAAGCGTCGAGAAAAAATGTTATATGTATATTTTGCACAATAAGTCCAACGCTACATACATGTACATAATAAATCCTTGTCCTAAAGTAAGTGGAAAAGTTCACATGAAACAGAAACAAATGATCCAAGAATATATTTTAGAAAATTAGTATGACAGGTTAACGCCATTGCCTATAGGGCAGGAATTTAAAGCTACAAGAATGAGAACTTCTATGACAATATAGAAATCCACTTTTTTGGAATTATAAACAACCATGTGATATGGAAAAGTGTTGGCATCTTAATCATATCATAGAAGTTGAAATAATCTAATCCTCTCCATTCTATTTGTTACATTGGAACAGCAAGGAGAGGAGTAAAAAGTTCATAAGAGATATTGTTCCACTGCAACTGAGAACTTTGATTAGTGCTTTTATAAGTAATTTTGAAAGCTGTGGTTGGCTACAGCACAATTGTTTCATTTTGAAGAATGCCTGATTCATTAAAAGTGCATTTGCAAACAGTGTTACCATTGTTGTTCATTGCAGTGATAGGTGTGATCAAACAGCACAAGTTTGTTCGTTGACTGCACTAATGCTCGATGGATTCTATAGAATGATCCAAGGGTTTCAGGAACTAGATAAAAATTTCTCCTTATGAGAAAGCATCCAAGAGCCATGATTAATGATCTTCTAAGCTAAATAATTTATTGACAGATGTGGCTTTGTTGGCAGCAATAAAAAGAAATTGTTACATGTCATCTAACACAGTATGCTATGTCAACTTGTAAATGATATTCCTAGCTTCGCCGACGATGTTTAAGCAGAAATAATAATTCCAGCTTATTTCGGTGCAAGTAATAGGATGATTGCTAGACTGAAATCATTTGAAAATTATAAAGTCTTCTATTTAAATGTAAACTTCGTCCTTCATATTTGATAGAGGTCGCATTTGCCGCGCCAGCATGGTCCACCATTTCAGCCAACTTCACATCGCACATCGATTTGGCTTTTCTGTAGAAAAAACGATTAACTATCAAACATTTTTATTAGTTAATTCATTACTATCAAACTATTCTACATCGATTGAGCCCCGAAAGAGCTACACGTTCGTTCGTGCATGAGTTTTTACGTGCTCCGGAGTACTATAGGTGTGTTCGAAAATGAACCAACAGCGGAGAGTGTATTGTTGTTTCTTTGTTTATTGTTTGCATTTTATCGAGACACTGAAATCTAAAAAACTATTGACTATCAAATGCTTTAACAAGACTATCAAACACTACCAAACGACTATCAAACGATTGGAATAAGAAAAAGTTTACAAAATAAAAGTTGGCCGGCCAACTTCACACAGGTTCTACACTTGACGTAGGACCAGCGCTGTGCAGTTGACGTTACCGCAATTTGTGATTTCATCGTAGGAAAATAACGGAATTTTTCATAAATTCTACTGATCCGTCTTGAGCGTCGCCAAAGTTACCAATACATAGCAAAAATGCCCCGCGGTGAGTATAAAAAATGCATATGTTCATTTATCTGGCTTGTGTCTCTTGCTAAGGAACTGCCCCACCACGTTTTCCACGAGAAAGTCTGGCTCGTCTATTGCCAACGCGCAATACTCGCTTTAGATTTTTTTCTGGTGGATCTTTTTTCTACTTGAATATCTATTCTTTGCAGGAAAATTCGTCAATCATAAGGGACGCAATAGGCACTTCACGAATCCAGAGGAACTTGAAGAGCAACGTCGCCAGGATGAGCAACGACGCCAGTGGAGAGTCAGTATCTTTAGGTTAACCCTCCGCACGACGACCTGGATATTTTCGTAAAGAACAAGGTCGGACCGTCCTTTGAGGGTCGAACATGATCGTGTGCATAAGAAAATTCTTGGAGCACTCTCACCAAGTGTCAAAGTTTTAAAAACCTTTGGCTTGTTTATTTTTTTTTGAGAGACTTGGTTACCCTATGCTTTGAACTATTTTTTGTGAAAATTTGCATACAATTGACCTTGGATGTACTTGAATTGATACTTGTAGGATTTTTTTTCAATTTCAATAGTTTTGTGCCCTTAGTATGTGCTCCAAGCTATTAACCGCAAGATTAAACATCTTGTGAGGAAATAAGATGTATAAAATATTGTTCTATGTTTTAGAAAAATAAGGGTAATGATACCTCGAGTGATGAGGAGGATGATCCAAAAGCAGCAGGTGGTGACAAAGCAAAGAAAGCAGATGAATCAGGATCGGACAGTGAGAGTGAATCAGAGTCAGATTCAGAAACAGAGGTAAGCTATAATAATAGAAATAGTATGCACAAATGATATACAATTGTCTCCATTTCAGGGAAAGGCAAAAGGAGTAGAAAATTTAATTGAAGTGGAAAATCCAAATAGGGTACAAAAGAAAGTGAAAAAATTGTCTCAATTGAACGAAACACTAGCCAAATCAACTAAGCCTGAACTATCTCGAAGAGAAAGGTCTGTACCATTAAAATATTTCTTTTACAAATGATCACACGACGATATTCAATAGTAACAATCTCTCTCAGGGAACAACTAGAAAAACAACGAGCATATGCCAACTATCAGAAACTGCATGCTGCAGGTAAAACGGATGAGGCTCGCGCGGACCTAGCAAGACTAGCGATAATAAAGCAACAAAGAGAGGAGGCAGCGAAACGACGGGAAGACGAGAAGAAACAGAAGGAGCTAGCGCTGCAGAAGAAGACAGAGCAAACGCAGAAAGCTTTGGGAAAACGATCCTAGGACAACCATTTTCCGGATATTCTCCCATAATAAATAATTTATACAACTGCTGTTGCTACTGGGAATCGTAACAACTCGACTCCACTACTTTATTATCAATAAATTTCCACTAAACTCACCTTAAAAAAACGTTTATTATGTACGTTTAACGAACATGTGTTTATTTATATAAATACAGTTATTATATACTAACTATCTAAAGACTTTTTATTATTCACATTCCATTTTTCCATTGATCCTATTCAACGTCATTTTCGTATTAGATTACTTTTTCCTGTTTCTTTATAAATATAGAAAAGGCAATTTTAAGGTTACTAGTAAAATGCCATCCAGCGGTACTGGTTTCAACTAACGATAATTTATTCAGCGTCCAAGATTGTGTTCCCTGTGTTAACTGATCGGCTATGCAACTAACTAGCTGGCTGCTGTCAGTCCATCCTTGAGACTGATAAAACCCAAGTCGTCGGCACGATGCCTTGGGATGACATTATCTACGTTTCTTTACTATTACTGTGCATAGTATTTGGTCACTGGTATCGTCAAATAAAGAATAGACAACACAGACAATGGGTCAGCACAATTTTAGGATTAACCGTGATTAGCATTGCATCTGGTTATCATGCAATTCATCCAATCATTTGCATTGTTGTCAATGCTATAATAATTACTCAACTTTCTTGGAAGTATGTATATGCATATATGTATAATAATATATATATAGTCTACTAAGAATCAGTTGAATACTCCAATAGTAAACTGTATAAATGTCTTTCGTAATAACTGTTTTTTCTTTGTAGAGTATGTCATATCGTAAGCTTCTGCTTTACATTTTTCTACCTTCTGGGATTTTTCCGGTTAGCTGACTGGTATGGTCTTCCATTGCCATCAGCTCATGCAAATTTAATACAGATGATGCTCACATTGAAGTTATCCGGAATGGCATTTGAAGTAAATTCAGCAGCACAGGCTCCAAAAGATGATGCACAAGGCATGAATGCAGAAGCCTTCAGGAAAATTGGTTTTATGGATGTTATTCATTATGGCTCTACATACATTGGAATTCTCACAGGTAAACCAAACAATAATTGACACGAGCCAGTCAATTTCTATTTAACAAAAATAAGCAGACGTCTCACATTCATCATTAAAGACTAGCCAATGATTTTTATCATTTTATGCTCGAGATCAATGTATTCATGACCCTTCTTATCACTCACAGACTCTTTCTTTGTATAGGTCCCTATTATCGTTATAGAACTTACTGGGATTCCTTACACAGACCATTTTCCGATCAGGCTGATCACTTGAGCGTTACATGTACAAAGTTCAAACAAATAGTGCCCTTTGCACTTATTCATCTACTATTCAATTATACATTTCCAGCAAAGGTATATATGTCTACAACAAATACACCATCTACCAACATGATAAAACACATTTTCATAATATACTTGATTGGTTTACAGTATGCACTAACAGATGACTTTGGAACACGATCTTTCCTTTATCGATTCTGTTACATTTATCCAACATTTGTGACATTCCGTACAAGAATGTATACTGGAATGGCACTTTCTGAATGTGTCTGCACAATGTCAGGACTTGGAGCCTATCCCACTAGCTGTGAAACCATATCTGGATTGGGACCAAAAAATTACAAAGCAATAGAGTCACTGTAAGCACTCACCCCCGTCCACAGGAACCTTCTAAGCATTGTAGGATTTAGTACTTTCCCTCATTGCAGAAGCAAGGATCCTGACAAGGCCATGAAGGAGGCACTAGACTTTGAGACGGTGCACAATATCAACTTCTGGGGAGTAGAGTCCTGTGTGCTTGTGAGGACAGCTATGAAGATGTGGAACACGTGCGTTCAATACTGGATGGCCACGTGCGTCTACAAGCGATTTCCTTATAAACCACTCAGAACCTTGTTCACTTTAACGCTGTCAGCAGTTTGGCATGGTTACCATGCCGGATATTACCTGTGTATTTGCTCAATTACGTTTTTCCTACCCATGGAGGACATTTATGTTAAGTTTTACAACCAAACCAAGGAAGGGAATCTTGTACGTATATTTTATCTATGTATAAAAAGTTTTAATTCAAAGACTCAGTTCTTTATTCTGTTTTTATGTTCTATGTTTCAGACAAAGAAAGGCTTGGGACTTCTAATGTGGTTTTTGAAATCAACGTGTATGGCATACCTGGGTATATCTTTCCAGCTGCTAAAACTCGAAGAGACTTTAGCCTATTATAACAGTGTTTACTATGCGGGACAATTGTTAGTCGTCATTTTATACATAGTTGGATTAGTGCTCAAACCTTTTATCCTAGAAAAATCTAAAGTCTAGCTTATCCATAATGTACAAAAGGAGATAAGGTAATATGCGAGTCATAATCAAACAGTAACTAATAGCGAGAAAGAAGAATTTAATCAATTGAAGATCTGTCTTATACTAAAGTTGAAACGTATGCATAAAAGGGATCTGGTATATTTGCAGCTAAGTATAAGAGTACATACGCACAAAACATAATTTATTGTATATTCAGTTGTGTAATCAAGAAACAAAGGAGACGAAACAATTGCACATCAAATTCGAAGTGCCACTAGTAATAAAAAAATACATATACGCTGAAATTGAAAATGGAAGCTCAAAGTGAACGATCGAAATAGAGAAGCAATAACAAATCTCGTTTTAGTTTTTATGGTTTTATTGAATAAATCGTTACCATATATCATCGACATCTCTACAATATCCATAAAACTCATAATTATTGTCCCCAGGATCCTTGGATAATCTTTTCATTGTGATTATCAGTCGTCTCTATTGTAATAATTCAGATTTTTTTTCAATTCTTACCTCGTGTATGATACTTACGTTAGAGCATTGCTTATAAAAAAGCACCTGAAATAGAAACACAGGAAAAAAGAAGAGCCCGTTTTTATCCCACCCGTAAACCAAATTCCCCATTGACATATCGGCGGAAAATGAAATTCGTTTGAGCGACACAATTGAAGTAGCAATCCCATTGTACAAAACAATAACAAGATCGCGAGACAACGTTTACGCGTCACGACAAAGTATCGATTAAAAAAATAACCGGCATAAATAATACAGGCTGAATAAACAAATTATGCGTCGAATCCACGTCAGGCAGAGATCTCAAGAAACACTTGATCAAAACACGAATTCACGAGAATGAACAAACTACACAACATCCCATAGCTAAATCCTCGAGAGTAACCCGACTCCATCAGGTAGACGACCTGTCCGAATACGGAGTATGCATCCCACGTAGAATAAAAAAAAAATGAAAGCTAAGAACAAAACCCCAAAAGTATAAGCCCTACCAAGCGCGAGTTGACAAAATGGCTGTTCGCAGAGATTCGCATCAACTCCCAGGAAGCATAATGCATCTCGGCGTGAGCCGCGACGAGGACGACGAAACTGAGGGCCAATCGGACTAGCTGGTACGTGCGTGGGTGGCAGTGGGGGTGCGTTCACGCGCGAGGTCTGGTGATTCGTCAGAAGTCCTATATCGTCATTTTATGCGCCCCCGTGCTTATCCGACAGTGGAAGAGATCGGCTGCTATCCAGCCCACCATGCCAACACCGACTGCCAAACGACCAAATCATCACCCTCTCGGCAAGACTCGGCGAAGCTGTGGCTGGGAAATTCTGGCGGGTCTCTGGGCGGCAATCGTCATCGCGTGTACTCTGCAACTCGTGCACTCTGATCCCCCATAGAGTGAGAGTGTGCGTGTGTGTATGAAAGACAGAGAAAAAGGAGAGAAAGAGGACAACAGATAGTAGAAACAAATTAGAAAAGTATAGAGCGTTAAAGAATGAAACAGAGAAAAAGTAAGAAAAAAAACTATAGAGACAGACATAGATAGAAAAGAGGATTAAAAATAGAGGAAAGTAATAGAGACCGGCTTTTCCGTTTTCGACCAAACTTTCTCGCCCGAACCGCCCGCCGCGAACCTGCTTTCACCAGACCACCAACCGCTCGCTACTGCAAACTGCATACAGCCCTGCTACTCGGCTTACTGCTTACTCTCAGCTACCCCATCATCGGCTACACTCGCCACGCCACTCCTTTCCACCGCCTGTGGCACCATAAAATTACAACTTAGTTACGTGCAGTCACTTTCTCTTATCCGTGTAGTTTTTTAAGGGATTTTGATTTATCTATACGTTCACTGATCGTGTATGTATGTGTGAATGTAATGTGTATGATAAGTGTTCGTTAAAATGTGTAAAATGTCCTAGTGAGATTATCCAAGGATTTTATATTTTTTTATATAAAGATATTCCACTTGATAAAGATATTCGTTGAACATTAAACTCACTCGAATGATCTCATTAAGAAACTAACAAATTATATGTGTATGACGAATGGACGTTTAAATTGAATTTGATCATTTTTTCTCTATTTTTCATAATGTTACACCTTTCATTCAATTTTCAGATCCATTCGCAGTGTGTTGATACAAAATAAGGATTTCATCGTCACATAACAAGCTAAAATAGTTAAATTGTCATTACTCGATGGCATCTGTGAAGTCAAAAATTCTGACAAACAATATTCAACAAGTGGAGCTCATTCCAGTACTAGACAAACGTGTGCTGTATTCTTTCCAGGAAAAGAAAAAAAATAATTTTACATGGTACTGTGTTGTATATTAAGTAATAGCTAAATGTGTGACAACTTAATAAATGCTAATGGAGGTTTTTTTAAAAAGGCTTTGAACGTTTGGGGGGTTGGTTGGAGCAAAGGGTATTAATGGAGGTCACAAGTTATATATAAAAATGATTATTAAAAGTTATTCGAGGGCAAGGGGGGGCGCAAAAGAGAGAGAGAGAGAGAGAGAGAGATGGGGGGGTAGTATTCATAATGTTATACAAAAGTAATAAATGAATGTCATAATATAATTCACACCTTTGCTGAAAACGTCTACGTCTACGTAACTTTACTTATGTTAGAGTTTACCAACCGTCGACAAACCGCGCTTTTTACGCACATATATCGGATATCTTCTGTATCTCATTACACTTTATTATAAATGGCAAACTTACATAAATAAACCTGTAAATGTTGTTACAGAAACATAGAACTTATGTCTAGAAGACTCTGCACATTATCAAACTCTTTGTTCACTTTTGAGAGCCGCGCGCATCATACAAGGTGATGATAATAAACGTCAAACGTAATAGAAAAGGAGTATTGTTAAGGACGAGAAATTCATCATATTTCATAATTTTCTCTCTCCTTTTTTATAAGAGGCAAGCTGTTCGTGCGCTCAGAGGGACCCCCTTGATTACCCACGATTATATATACTGAATTCTACAACCTGGCAGACACTAACATTTTATGAACTCAGTGATTTTATGTTATTTTCACTATAATCTCAATACTAAACTCATTAGACTTTTTTGAAAATAACGTTTCCAGATGTATTTTCAGTTTTTTATTTGCTTATTAATCATTCGTAATACCGCGCTTCACTTGTTGCTATACGCGACATTGTTTGCACTTTCAATTATTTAAAAAAGAAAAACCGGTGCTTACTCGAGATTAACAAAGAGCTACCGCAAGACGGATAAACGGTCTTCATATTGTGATGATGATTTTGGAAAGTATTTAAAACAGCTAGAGACGCTTGAAAACCGTAGACAGTGTAAGATGTTAGAAGCAAATTTTACGTCAACTGTAGATGGAGAAACGGTATTTTTTTTTAAACGTTTCAAAGAAGCGGACTTCTTGCATTTGTGTTCTTTGAAAATAAATCTGTTTATTAAAAACTTACATGCATCTATCGAGCGGAATTCGAACGTCAATGCCCACGATACAAACAGAGTCTTTTTTTAATTACCAAACGCGAGGAAGGAGGTTAGCAATTCAATTGATGTAGATTTTGAAAAATGGAAAGAACAATACAACGCTCAATGTTTTTTTCCCTTCCTTTGATTCGCCTCTGCTCAATTGTTTGTACATGTACATTAATAATGTTAAATAAATGTGGGG